ATATATATGTATATTATAAATTATTATGTAATGAATACATGAAATTTGTGTTTTTTTATAGCCGCCTTTAAAATAGTAAAATCATGGTTGCCCGAAAAGGCCATTGAAAAAATTAAATTTGTTAGCAAGAAAGATATTACAACTTATGTGCCTCCTGATCAAGCCTTAAAATGCTGGGGTGGTGAAAATGACTATTCATTTAGTTTTGTACCAGAAGTTATACTTGAAAATGGAAAGGTGGGAGGAACCGTTCCATCAAACAATAATAAAAAAGTAAGTATATTCTGTGGCTCTGATTTTATATAATATGCTTATTAGAGTGGCCCAAAAAAACGAATATTTTTTATTGCGTCTCTTGTGAGAATATGTTAGTTTGTCATGTTTTAAGAGCCCCCTCAAAAAATCAGCTCAAAAAATTTTTTTAGAGGTCGCTCAAGATGTTAAAAAATTTTCAAAATCTTCAAAAATTGATTTTTTTTTCTCGTTAGTTTTTCATTTTCTATGTTGAAAAAAATCTCGATTCTGAAGATTTCAAATCGATAATTTAATTTCTAAAGGTCACTCCTAATTATTATAACTTTAAAAGTAGTGTACCTAAAATGTTTTCGAGCGACCTCTAAAAATAAATATGAACGAACTAATAATTTTTTTTATTGTATTTGATGTACATAAGAATAGAAATAAATCATGAGACACTTAAAAAATTTCTCGAGGCAAAAACTACCGCACTGAGTATCAAATATTTATAATTTTTTAATTGTTTAAAATTTATGTATCTCGTGATTTATTTATATTCTTTTGTTCATCAAATTCAATAAAAAAAAAATATTAGTTTGTTGATATTTATTTTTAGAAATTGGTACTTTGAAAGTTAAAATAATTATGAGTGACCTTTAGAAATTAAAATATCGATATGAAATTTTTAGAATAGAGATTTTTTTCAAGCTAGAAAATGATAAAATAACGAGAAAGAAAATTTAAAAAAAAATTCAATTTTTGACGATTTTGGAAATTTTTAAAAATCTTGAGCAACCTTTAAAAAAAAATTTAAGCTGATTTTTTGAGGGCACTCTTAAAACGTGATAAACTAACATATTTTCACAAGAGACATGAAAAAGAAAATATTTTCGTTTTTTTTTGGGCCACCCTAAACGCTTATCTAAAAGTATTATTAGTACCTACTTAAAATTATACATTTTCATAAATAATTCTAATTTAATGATTTCTGGTTTAGTAGGGAAAAAAACAGTAAGAAGTCCAAGTTTATATTAGCTTTCAGTTTTATAATCCAGTTATCAGAAGGCACATTTTGGTTTATTATAGATATTTTTACAAAATATTGCTGCTCACCTTAATTATATGGTAAAATTATAATTATCGAAAATTAGGAATTGGAAAATTCCCATTTATTGAATATTTTTTAAATTCGAAATTGAAACACAAAGAAAAACTCAGTTATTACAAGATGTTTTCAGTAAGATGAAAGACTGAACACATTTTATATTCCAAGGAATTTTGCTGTGATTTTAACTAAAATATTGGCAAAATAAATTGCTGCCTCTTAAACTTATCTAGTGATTTCAATAAAAATTACTGTGATCTCAAAAGTTTAGTAAACTTTTAAGACCTAACTAAATTTAAGGAAATATATTAAATAATTACATATAATTTAATTATATTTGTTTAATAATAAAACTCAAGGTGTATTATTTACTATTCATCTTTATTAATCATAAATCGAGGAGAATTTTGAAATTTTGAAAGTTATTTATTACTTCTAGAAAATTTCCAATTAGAGATGAACATCTCTACTGAAAATAATAAAATTAATCGATAGATTTATATGAATTAAATAAATACATATTTGTTTGAATCAAATAGCCATATTAGCAAGTTTTATCTATGACAAATATGAGTTAATTGCCATGTTTTTAACATAAGATAATCATATTAGTAAAACAATGTCATTAGTCCATTTTATAATTATCACCTTTTGACCTGCTGGATTTATTAGTGAATAGTTTTAATATTTTGTATTGGAGAAATTATTTTAATTATTTTTAGTTGAAATCTGTAATTAATGAAAACTGCATTTGCCTTCACAATATCAATTTTTTAATATGCATATTTTTGAAACCCATTTTCTTTAAACATATGGAACAGATAGTTTGTGATATATTTTACCGTACTTTGAAAAAAAACTGGGGAAGTATGCAAGAACTTATAAAATGGTTTTTCTTAATTGCATTTTTAATGCCACTTTTAATTATCCCTGAAGCAGTAGTATTCATTTTTACTGTTAATACTTATTATGCTTTTTAATCAAAATATAAAGAGATACGCAATTTGTTTAGGAAATTTTAACTGTTTTATTTTGATTTTAGTTTTTGAATAATTTATTTTACATTAATTTACATTTTTATTCAAATTTAATAATTTCCTTATTTGCATTCTGTATTAGTAAAGGAAACAAAACTGTACAAATTTTTAAATTATGATGTTTCAGCATAATATTTTTGTCTTGTTAGTTCTATCCCAAATAACTGTGTGGGAGTTGAGATCCCTGCAAAAACTAATCAATAATCTTATGACAGGTTCACTTTGTGGATGGTTCAATGTCAGAAGTATCTGCAAGTAGTGTTGAAAAAGATGTTGGTAAGTTATTATTTTATTTACAAAAGTTGCCACAATGAATAATTTAGCAGATTTTATGATAATTAGGAAATGTTAGAAAGAATATCTGACTTTTACATTTACATCAATATTGAGAAACAGCCCTTCAGAAGTAATTGTAAGAAATCGGTTTAAAATTTATTATTAATTGATACCAGACTTTTGAAATCAGTTGAATTATGCTCATATAGTAAACATTCTTGGTTTCACTTATATACCTACTATTACATTTATTTATATTTATCTCTGAGTGTATAAAGTAATTCATATTAGGAAAAAACTAGTTAAATGTGCAGCGTTTTTATTAAAACCCTTTTTGTTAAGATGGTGGTGCACTTAAAGTTACACCATCAGGAATCATCACTTTTGTCAAAGATGGCAATGAACTGGTCAGTACCTTGGAACTGCATAACAGCGATTCCAATAGTCACATATCTTATAAGGTAAGTTCTGATGTATCTGTATTTAATATACAGGGTGGCCAAATGAAATCGAAACAGAGCCATTTTCAGGAACTGCGTCAAGATTATAGAAAAACGCTCAGACCCGTCGATTTTAGATTAAAGGGGAACATTCTTTGCTGGTATTTTTGACTCCGCCACTTTCACCCCCAAGCAAGGGTAAGCATCACCTCAAAATATTTAAATGGCATTGGGGGTTGAGTAATATTTCTTTTGAAAGCTCTTACAAATCTCTTTACAACAGACTTTAAATTTTATAATTCCGCCCAATACTTATTAAGAATTTTGATTTTAAAGTTGAAACTTATGTACAAACAATTAGTAACGATAAAAATGTCAGTCATTCGAGTTAAGTACGCCAATGGTATAAATTTAGTATTTCTTGTGTTACATTGGTTTTTGGCGATTTGTTATTACTTTCGTAAAAAAACAATTATAAAAAACAGAAATGAATGCTATATACATACAATGAACGTAAAATTAGTGGATTCCAAATTATTTTCTAGTATTTGGAAGCGTTGGTTGGTAATCTAAAATCGACGGGTCTGAGCCTTTTTCTACAATCTTGACGCAGTTCCTGAAAATGGCCCTGTTTCGTTTTCATTTGGCCACCCTGTATATATTAACTATTAACACCCTGTATCTCGAAAATGGTTGAGATTTCAAAATAAGTTTATATGAGTGAATACTATTATTTTTCGTTGTACTATCTGCCCCCAAAGTCTCATAGATTTAAACTGAGACACCCTGTATATGGGCTTAGAGATAATCTAAAAAACAGTACAGATTATACAAAAATATGAGCACTTTAATTTTTATTATCTGGCATTGCTCATAATTAATTTTTTAAACATGTTTTTATAAATATTGAAACTTCTACGCTAAAAGTTACTGTTTGTAATTATTTATGTGGCAAAAGTTGTTCAGAATATCTGAATTTAAATAAACACCACCGTAACAGGATCATTAGTTATAAATACTTTTTAATTAAAAATTACATGTATATATTCTATAATAATAATTATTATTATTTAATTACACATATAATACAATTTTTGTTGTTGTTTCAACTATATGTTTATAGTCTTTCCGAAGTCAGTTGAACATGTATAAAAAAACCGAGCAATCAAATTTAATGAATTTCATAGGTGTCCCTAAAAAAGTTTTCTGCTAAAGGTAAAAAAATTATAATAAATTTGTATATAATGTGTAGGAAATTTCTATTGTTCATTTGACCAACAGCTTATTTTAATTATTTCTGTCCTCAAACAAGTTTATTATATTGATGGTAAATTTCGTTTTGTTCCATTTCAAAAGGTTTTCAAAATGCCATGTTGTAATAATATTAGTAAACCAAATATCCCTCTTATTTCTCCCTTTCCCAATTGTAATATGAATGATTAATAGAAAATGCCTATAATAAATTAAAATTATCTGAATCGCACCAAATTCCGCATTGCTGCACTGCACTGCCAGGCGACTTGTCGGTAACTGAAATTTATGAAGCAGTTGCCCGTACACTCATTCTTCAACTGGGCATATACATTTCTACCACCTGCACATTTAGTTCGACCAGGCCTGTATATGGGTATGGCTAAATAAATATGGAACAAGTTTTTCAAATAAAAACCTATACATACTGTCATTCTCGTGGTTCTTCAATTGATATCGGAAAGACTATACTATTTTCGATTTATATTTTTTATTTAACAAATTTCATAAAATGTGTTTATAAAAATCATGAAATATGATGAAGTGGTTCTTAGTTTTATTTATGCTAGATGACAAAATAGAGAGAACAGTTTGACAATTTTACTTTAGATTAGAATAATTATACGATGGGTTGATACTAAATTAATGGTCTATAAAATTTGTATACATTAAATGTCTATATTTATACACAGCTGAAAACCACGTCTCCAGAAAAATTCCGAGTTAAACCTAGTACCGGTTGTTTGGCCCCAGGTGAAACTGCTATAGTTACGGTGACTTTATTGCAAGGATTTCAGTTAGGTGGTTTATCTCGTGACAAATTCCTTGTTATGAGTACTCATGTCGATCCTTCTGATGTTAACAACATTGACCTGTCGGAATTATGGAAGGTAAGCCATTTCACCTGTTATACTCGCTATACAAATGAAATTATAATTACTGCATGAGTGCAGTAAATAGATTGCACCAGTGGCGGCTCGTCAGGTGACGCAAGTGAGGTTCTGTTTGGTTGTGTAATTTAAAATTATTTTTAATTGTATATAAATTTTATAATTTAGGTATAATTCTATATGGAATATGTATTGTGTTTGAACGCTTTCTAAAAAAAACTTAGCCTTCGTTGAACACGAACATCAACCTCGTTCCATACAATGTATAGTATACGCAAGTGACGCAGATCGAAGTTAGTCTGTATTCCGCTTCTCTTCAAAGCATTGTTTACGGTGCACTATCGGTCAAACAGCATTTTTTTTATGTCAAAATCAATTATTTTGAAGAAGAATTAACGAATCGTTTTACATTTTTTTAAATTATAGCTTATTTGATGCAGATTTAGGGAAAATTATTGCGAATGTCATCATCCCCTATTTTGGGGGTGGAAATGAAGGGTGAATAGATGAAAAAAGTGAAAATCGATTTTCTTCGTTCAAAAATCTTATATCTTCGATAAATATGGTGAAATTAAGACACATTTTGGTGGAATCAATGCTCAATTGAAACAAGTTAAGAAAAAATTAATGAAAATTTGATTTCAAAAGTTTTAGACTAATAAAGTTATGATATACTGTCCAATATATCATTCAAAAGTATTTACTCGTTTATTTCTAGTACTTTTCCATTTTTTAACCCGCAACCTTAATTTGCACCCTTAAGGAGGACTTGATGAAAAACCTCCAGAAAGTAAGAGTGGATTAAAAACAGTGATCATATTTAATTAATCGAACCCCTTCCAATGACAGATTTTTTATTTTTGCCAAGTAATGAAAATCTCTCCACCCCTTATTCCTACCCTTAAAGCACGGACTAATAAAAAGCTACACTTATAGTTTGACGACGAAAAATTAAACTTTTACGTATCTAGGGACCACAAAAACCCTCAACAAATACCTTCTTTGATTTTTTACATTCTACTCCTAACCCCAAATTGCCATTTCCCTTAAGTAAGGGATAATGAAAAATCACCCTGAAATTTACAATGGTAAGAAAATGGTCTACCATGTTATTTAACATCAGAGAATCGAAAAATTGGTAATACTTATTTCAGATGAATTTTATTATTCAATTATCCACCTCTCAGTTCTTCCCCTAAATCGGGGGGATGATAAAAACAGCTCATGAAAAGGTTTTTTGTTTTAGTGATTCTTTTATTCGTGTTCAGCGACAACAAAAACCTTTTATGCATATTTTCTTTAATTTTCATTTTTGCATACCATCACCCCTCACTTCCAACCCTAAAATAGGGATGAAAATATTTTCATTAATTTTTCCTTAACTTGTTTCAATTGAGCATTGATTCCCCCAAAATGTGTCTTAATTTCACTGTATTTATCAAAGATATAAAATTTTTGAACGAAGAAAATCGATTTTCACTTTTTTCACCTATTCACCCTTCATTTCCACCCCCAGAATAGGGGATGATGACATTCGCAATAATTTTCCCTATATCTGCATTAAATAAGCTTTAATTAAAAAAAAAATGTAAAACAATTCGTTAATTCTTCTTCGAGATATTTGATTTTGACATAAAAAAATGCCGTTTGACCGATAGTGCGGCGGTTGTCATGGCAACGAGGCGGCTAACACGGGAGTAAACTACGGCGTGGGGGAATGAGTGACGCGGATATTGAAACAACATTGTCATCGCCCATCGCCTGCTTTTAAACAGGTTATACGATACGCGTCGCCCAGTGTACGATTATAACAGTTGTTAGTTAATATTTGTTTTGTATAATGATTGTAGAAATGTTTCCTATGTATGATCCAGTATATATTTTATCGGAAACGTTATTTTCCAGACGGGAAATTAAGGACAAACAGGATTTTTTCAATTGCGAGAGACCTGTGTTTTATTTTCTTGATATGGAAAAAAGGGGAAGTCAAAAGACAATGTGTACGTTCGGAAGTTTCGGAAATGGTATTTGGAGTATAAGTGGTTCTGTGGAAGTGTTTATTTAAAAAAACTTTTCTGTATGCCGTGTTTAATTGCGGGTGTAAAGTCACACAAGGCTGTCATAACCACAAAGCTTCTTTGGAACATACATGTACAGTGTGCGTTAATGTTCGCAGAAGTCCACAAGCCAAACTAGCATTTCTATTTTCTATAAAATCTAAATGAATATCCTTCTCGCGAACGTCAGTTTTTCGGTAATATTGCAAATGCAATTAAAAATTTCCAGATTCATTTAAAGCCGTTTGCCCTTGAAAATTTGAAAATTTTCGCCCGCGGTGCTTTTTTTTTTCTCTTTAGTCGATCAATAAATATGCTTCACCTATTATCAATGTCACGAGTCGCCACTGGATCACACTATTTTCTTGTTTCAATAACTTTTTTGAAAATTGCTTTAGCCACAACAAACAATGCAAATAGTTAAGAAAATATAATTAGTAGTATTTTTTTTTAAATTTGCCTCGCAAATATTAATTTGATTAAATTAAATTAAATCTCAACCTGTATATTATGGTGGCCCAAAAAAAAAGAATATTTGTGTGTCTTCTCATAATTATTTTAACTTTAAAAGTAGTGTACCTAAAATGTTTTCGAGTGACCTCTAAAAATAAATATGAATGAATTAATTTTTTTTATTGAATTTGATGAACAAAAGAATAGAAATAAATCACGAGACACTTAAAAAATTTATGGAGGCAAAAGTTTACTACTGCACTATGAGTATCAAATATTTATAATTTTTTAATTTTTTAAAATTTAAGTGTCTCGTGATTTATTTCTATTCTTTTGTTCATCAAATTCAATAAAAAAAAAAATTATGAGTGACCTTTAGAAATTAAAATATCGATTTGAAATTTTCAGAATCGAGATTTTTTTCAACCTAGAAAATGATAAAATAACGAAAAAAATAATAAAAAAAAATAAAATTTATGACGATTTTGGAAATTTTTAAAAATCTTGAGCGACCCTTTTTTTGAGCTGATGTTTTGGGAGGTTCTTAAAACCTGATAAAACACATATTTTCACAAGAGACGAAAAAAACATTGTTTTTTTTTGGGCCACCCTACTGTATATTTTCAGCTCGAGATGAATTACATTTTTTTTTCGTTTGTGAACTTGTCCCACTCTCCACTTATGATACTTTCATCTCTTGTTGCAAAATTTTCTATTTGATTACACTTAATCTGACAAGCGTAAATTAAAGTATTTCCTTCTTTTTTTGGCAGAATACATCTGGCAGAAAAATAAACCAACACCGTTTAAAATGCATCCAAAGTGGAGAAGTTGTTAAAAATGGTAACCCTGCATTGGTTACGGGTGTACAGGAAGGTGATAATCACAATTACAATAAATTGTCTGCCTCTGTGGCACAATTGAATTCTTGCCAGGTGGAACTACACAGGGCCATAAAAACAACACAGTATTATCAGATTGTTACTATTTTTTTGGTTATATTGTTGGCTATTTTTATAAGTTATATACTTCGCATTAATCTTAAGGAAATATCTTCTTCCGGTTATTGTAAGAGTGAATACCATCCGTAGCAATAACCGTTGACTGCGGGGCCGACAGACGTTCATTTATGTTATAGGGTATTGCAGATGTTGATATATCGGTTGTTATATTTATTTTGTATCTTGAAAGATTTTTTTTATTAATTTAGGCTCTGCATAAGTTAAAAACTATGAACAATAATTTGTTTAAAAAAAGTTAACTTTTTAAATGATTTCAAATTCTGTTTTATTTTCACATTTTATTCCTGTTTTAAATATCGTTATTTTATATTAAATTGTTTGTGATGTGAGCAGTGAGTTTAAGCATATTTATATTTATAAACTCTGTTCGTGTCATAACTTATCTGTAGTACATTTAGGGATACAATCGTGTATGAATGAACTGAGCTGTATATACACTTCCAACTTGCCAAAACTGTTTTTATTTATATCTTTTAAAAAAATATTTTTGTATAGTAGCCTAAGTATTATTAAGTTTCCATAATTTACTATAATTTTTAGTAAAAGGTGATACAGATAGACTAGGCCTAATTCCTATAGCATTTAATAAATTCCTACATAATTGGCGCTAATTTTATTTAATACCGTACCTTCAAACCAGAATGGGTCTACAGTTAACAAAACTTATTTAATGAAAATTTTAGGATTTAGAACATGTCATTGAATGGAAGAAGCAGGCGTCCTGATTCGAATAAGAATATTTATAATAGGAATATCGATATTATTTCAAGATTTATCAAAGATATCGATTAAAAATTGCATTTACAGACTGGCTATAACTGACTTGTCACCACAAATTTTAAAACGTGAGAATAAATAGATTTATACAGGATGTGTCATAATTTATACATCAGTAGCCATACTAATGCTTACAAAAACATTTTTTTGTTTCATATTTTCAAGATATCTACCACTTTTTAATTTTTTGAGTAGTTGAAGGTGAACATTGAATTATTTCTCACCTAAAATATACAGTGTGTTTTCAAATGAAGTGGCAAAAATGGTACCAGTGAATGTAGAGCCAAAAATAAGAGGATTGAAGTAAAAATTCCTTATATGAAAGTTGCACCCCTGAGGCGATATACCATCTTAAAGGAGAGGATTGAAATTCACATTTTAATTTTTTTTCCTTTAACATGAGGAATGCTAAACTTGGTATGAGCACCCTACTAATAAAGAGACAACTTTTCGATATTTGTTCGATCATTGGCGTATTTTATAAAGGAGTGAAACAGTCGACCCCATGGCAATATTTTATTAGAAATTTTTTATATGAAACAAATTATTCATTTAAAAATATTTATTGGGAAGACTGTGCAACTTTTTTACCTCTTGTAATTTTTCAATAAAACCGATAGTTTTCTAGTAAAAAAATTAGATGCGTCATCGTTCACTAAAGGGGTCACTGCTTCATTTAATAACTCCCTTTTTTGACATTTTTATTGGTAAGAATTTGCAGTATTTTAGTAAATGTCCACAGGGTGATTCGTAACTTATCGGACAAAATTTGGGAATAGATGCTTCATCAAAAATAAAGTCAATACTGTAAAAAAAATTTTTAGTTTTCGAGAAAAAAATTATTCAAGTTGTAGTATTTAAAATCCTTACATTGCTGGGCTACTGTAGTCTTACACCAGGAAAATTAGATAAAATAAAAGAGAAACTCGAAAAAAGTCCTATCCGCGAGATTATTGTAAAATTGTCTAAAGGAACATAATACAAGACATCTTGTGAGTCAAAAACTTTTATTAGCTAACTTTTCTATTTATAAAATAAGTGAGGAAAACAGTTTTTTCACTTTGCAGGGAAAACCATCAATTTTAGCGAAAAATTACTCACAGGGGAATAAAATTATCTACAAAATGAGACTTGTTAAATTAAAATCGCTTAATAAATAAAAAAGTTATTGCAAAAAAACAAGAAATGTGCCCATTTTTTAATTTGTTTATAACTATCGCATTAATTGTTAAAATTTTATAAAACATATGACAAGTCGAGGGTTTTGTCATGCTTTAAAAGTGTGCCAAAAGTCGGCATTGTAGGTGCAATAGTTTTCACACAATTCAATTTGTTTATAACGGAGGCTCCAAAAGTTATGAACTTTAAGCCTCTGTGCAGGCGTTAATTTTCAACCAAACATGATTCTATCACCGTTTTTTTGACGCTAACATTCTCAAATTGTGTATTAAATAACCGTGCGTTTTTTGCTTATAAACAATTTAAATAAAATTGTTGCTACCTCACCGAAAATAGGTACAATGGATAGCTGACAAAAAAATACAAAATCTTATTTGCTTGGCCTATCTCTAGCGTCATTCTCGTTGTGCGTTGTACACAATGCGCTCTCTCCACGTAGCCCCAGGTAAATCTGAGTAGTGTTTACATTAGTTTTTCAAGTGTCAAAAATGGGTTACGTGTATAGCAACAGAGTTGATGGATATCATTTTAATTTATGGTGAAGCAAAACAGCATTTGTGTTATGGTGAAGCCAACATTTGTGTTAGGTTGTACAAACTGTGTTCGACGGGCCCGAATGTCAAATCAGGTATGTCAAATTATTTTATTAATTAAAACCACAAATTAATTTTATTAATTAATAAAAACAATAGCGGCAAAAGCAGTTGAATTTGCTGATTTAAAATAGCTGTTATAAATTTTGATTTATTTTTTCCTTAGGAAAGAAATTCTTTCAATTGTTTGTCTGTTCATTTTTTTATTAGACTTTGCCATTGTGTCTGTCTATGACTGCATGCTTTGTCTTGTGCAAGGTTATGTTTTACAGTAGACCAGTTTCCAGTGCAGTGTATTTTTAAATCATTTTTGAACTGCACTCTTTGATTTCCTCAAAAAGTACATTCAAAAATTTCACTTCGGAATTGTTTTGAATCACCCTGTATTTATTGTATACTTACATGTTGCTAAAATGCATTTTATATTTATTTTATGATCTATAGATCAATTTACTTTTATTGGAAAGTCAGCATCTACAGTTCTCTAAATATTTTTGTGGAAACTACATTCAAAGGATATTGTATTTCACAGACGATTTGAATAGAGGTAAGTTGGTTTAAGTCGTAAAAAATAATTTAAATTGGTGTAAGTCATAAAACTCGGTCTGAATTAGATTATTTTCCTCCCAGGAAGCCGCCCTTAAGTGTGGAAGAATTGCCCAATAATTATAGGACACCCTGTATATGCTTTTTATATTAAAAGATATTGATTAAAGATTAAAAAATTCAATCATAAACTTGGGTATAGGTACTGAAATAATTGTTAATTAAAAGAAGTTTGAATAGAATTAAATATAAATTCAAAAATTAATTATAATTTTGTTACAAATCATTTAATCTCGTGAAAGCTGCAAAGAAATACAATTCAAACGCGTAAAAGAGCGTATTTCATTGAAATTATATTTAAATTGTAAATTAAACACCTTTTCTTTTCTTTCGTTAATTATTTTGAAACCGAAATCTATTTCATTATTTTCATATTATTTTGAAATATTGCTAACAACATCAAATAATATCTTTTTCGTAGTCAATTTGAAATTTAGCATTTCTTTTGTGAAGTTAAGGCCCGTATCCACATGCATGCGAGATTAAGGATCCGTTGTAATCATGTAACCATCAACATCCAATTGTGCATCAGTTGAGTAAAGTACCCCAGGACGCACATACGCTGACATGACCAGAAAAACACAACACACAAAAACAAAAACACAACACCTCACCACACGCACACACAGACACGACACCCTCCCAACCGGGCGCGGCGGCCCTGATTGACGCAACAAAGCGCGTCTTCAGCTTCTGCATCCAGCTGACGACCATGGTGTCGAATATGCAAAAATTATTCGACTTCTAATGGCTCGTCGGCCCTCCCAACCCTCCTCGCTGAGAATTTCGTCCTGGAACCTTGACGGGTTCCGGGCCAAAAAAACGGAACTCGTGGACATCTTGAACCGTCTAAACATAGACGTTATGGCTGTCCAGGAGACCTACCTCAGCGAGGCATCCCGTACCTCCATCCCTGACTATGACATATACAGACATGACAGAAACCGTAACGGGGGTGGTGTTGCACTCATAGTAAAGAAGTGCATCGACCACTATCCGCTGCAGCGGCTCCAAACTCAAAACACAGAGGCCGTGGCGATAGCGGTGAGATCGCTACGGCATGGAGACGTTGCGGTGGTGTCCTGTTACCACCCACCCAGACTACCACTACTTGACAATGACTTAGACAAAATCCTTTCCTGGCCCCAGACAATTGCCATCGGGGACTTCAACGCGAAGTCCCCCATATGGCACAGCGGGACGACGACCACAAGAGGTCGCGTCCTGCTGAATTACCAAGACAGACACGACGACTTGACTATACTCGGACCGACAGAACCGACACATTACGGACCCGTAGGACGCCCCGACGTTATCGACATTGCCCTCTTAAAATCTATACCGTTAAATGCCCAAATATCCACCCAATACGAAGGGTCTTCCGCCCACAATCCAATATTTCTGGATCTGGGGCGAAGACAGAGATATGAAGGCACCTTCACGAGGAGGTTCACTGACTGGGAGCGTTTCCGAACAGTAATGCAAGGAAACATGGCGCTCCCAGTCATCGAAACCACCCATGATCTGGAGGCGGCAATCCTCTCCCTTGAGACTGACATTAAAAACGCCCTGACTCAGACTACGACGGAGACTATTGTCCCCCGACTGACAAACCCCCGGGGCACCCTCCCCGATGACATAAAAAACTTAATACGTGACAGACGACGTGCGAAACGGCTTGCCACCCGCACCCGCCTCCCCCGACACAGACATGACTTAAACGTACTTAACAGACGGGTGAAGGCGGCTCTGGATGAACTGGCCCAGGATAACTGGGCTAGGCACCTGGAGTCGCTGGATCCACAAGACAACAGCCTCTGGAAAACGCAGAGGGCCCTGCGACAGACCGCTCGCCGTAAAATTCCTCCAATCCACGGTAGTGTGGGGGTGGTTTACACGAACCAGGAAAAGGCCGAGGCTTTCGCCGATAGCCTGGAACTGCAGTGTAGACTGCCTCAGCTGCCCGACGAAGACGAGGAATTCGAGATAGTGGCTGAGCGCGCGGCCCGACGCGTCGACAGAGAGCCAGACAATGACATAATCCCCCCCGCAACACCTGACGAACTAAGACTGACAATACGCAGACTTAAAAACAGAAAAGCCCCCGGACCCGACAATATACATAACACGACACTTAAACGACTACCACACAAGGGCCTCATGGCCCTACTAAACATAACAAACGCGACACTCAGACTAAGACACTTCCCTACCCGCTGGAAAACAGCAAACATAATCCTTATCCCAAAACCCAACAAAGATCACACCATCCCATCCAACTACCGGCCCATTAGCCTGCTCCCGGCTATGAGCAAAGTGGTAGAAAAAATTATCCTAACCCGTCTAAGAACCCACTCCCAAGAACTGCAAGTCATTCCAGACGAGCAGTTCGCCTTCCGACCCAATCACTCCACTGAACTCCAAATCCTTCGCCTTACCGAGCACATCACGGCGGCCTTCAACAGGGGACAGTACACTGGTGCTGTCTTCCTGGACGTCGCAAAGGCCTTCGATACGGTTTGGCATGAAGGCCTACTGATGAAAATGCTCACCAACCAATATCCCATATCCTTTACCAAACTCATAAAATCCTACCTACACCACCGAAAATTCCGCATCCAAATCCAAGATTCCCTTTCCACCACCCGTCCCATGGAGGCCGGTGTCCCCCAGGGCACCGTCCTGTCCCCACACCTATACACCATTTACAACTCCGACATCCCACATCCCCCCAACACCAACATATACTTATACGCCGACGACCTGACAATCACATCCCAATCCGTAGATCCTAGATATTCCGTCTCCCTCCTCCAAAACTCCTTAGACCAACTTGAAACCTGGTGCAACAGGTGGAAAGTCAAAATTAATCCCAACAAAAGTTCGGCTATCCTTTTTACCAAACGAAAAATCCCACAAAACCTCGACAGACTGACACTATCCCAGGAACCTATCTCCTGGAATCGACAAACACGATACCTGGGCGTGACGATGGACCAGCGTCTCACGTGGAAACCGCACATCGTGGAGACGGTGGCGCGAGCGAAGACCACCAGGGCTAGGCTCTATCCCTTACTCAAAGGTGGAAACACCCTCAGTTTAAGGAATAAGCGAACGCTTATCAAGGTGGTACTTCAACCGCAGCTAACCTACGCCTCCACGGCGTGGGGTCACGCGGCAAAAAGCCACTTAAAGTCATTACAGGCTGTGGAAAACATAGCCCTCCGCACGGCCACCGACGCGCCCTGGTACGTAAGAAACACTGACATATTACGAGACTTACAATACACAAACGCTACACAGACAATAAGACAAAACGCGGAGAAACGATTTGACGTAGCCGCTAGACATGACAATCCCCTCCTCAGGCAAGCCGTTGACTACGTACCCGACGTGACCGACAAACACAAAAGACCTAGACACCAACTTTTTGACCCTGGGTGACCACCCCAATGACCCCCCCCCTGCCCGCTAACCTTTTCTGTTTCAGAGACAGCCAGGATCAAGAAACGAAGACAACGACACACACACACACACACACACACCCCCCATACCCTCCTTAACCCTCCCCTCCCGCGCTAGCCTAAGGGCCACCTTAGCAAAGCGCATCCCAGGCTGCATAGCCGCACTACCCTACCCAACCATACCACACATAAACATGACACTACCCCCGGGGTTTACACAGACGAGCCGGCGAAGCAAGAAGAGCGCCAGAAGAAAGGGCCCTAGCCGGCGGGGCCCAGCCAGGACAAAAGGAGGTCCCACAAAGCGCCTACACCGGCCGCATTTGCGGTCGGGGTAGACGACGGATGGGGCCCACCTACGAAGGCTGTCCAGGCCTACACGAGATGAGGCAGGATAAAGAGGGATAATCCCCCTCGATCCCAAATCATTGAGGCCAATTTCTAGCCATAGAATAATGGCGGCGAGTTGAGTAAAGTGACTTGACATTACATCAAGGTTAAAATTTGTAAGAGCTTACGGCGACTAGACAAGTGGCAATGAGAGAGAGAGAGAGAGAAAGAGCTAGTTTGGGTACTGTCTTTCTCGCTCGCAAAGACACGAGATTGGCTAACGCAACTCCTTCCACAACGATTAGAGAGAGAGAGAGAGTGAGTACCCAAAGTATCGCCCTTTCTACAGCGGCTACACTTTTTAATATGGTGCGTTCTAAGAAATTTTTTCGATTTTTTTTTTGTGGAATTGTGTAATTATTCTGTTCCACAGACTTCTATTATACAATTAAATTATTATATTTAGAAATCTGTGTTCGATTCCAAAAATATGGCATCGAACCTCTGAGAGAGATGAAAGGCGCCGACATTGAGTTATTATTCTGATGAACAGGTAGGTATCTCCTCTGTGATAGGTATTCAGTATTTAATCATTTAATAAATACGTAATGACTTAAATTTATTCTCTTTTAATAATAAAAATCAATGACCCTTATTGTTAAAATTCATATTTACCCTTAAATAATTGGCTTTCATATCAGTAACTCCACTCGGTGATTATTTCCTTATAAAATTGGAGGGAATGTAATTTCTGAAATCTGGTACAATCATTTAAAATCTGGTACATTTTTGTGCCGCAGTTGGTACACAAAATTTAAATCGTCTGGCAACACTGGGTATTCTGTCAAAGAAGCATACAGATACGCAGATGAGTTGAGTTAAAATTGTTAAAACACGTGAAATGTTCAATTGTCAGATCAATAATCAATAAATCAAATAACAGAAGATGAGGTTATGTTTTTGTTAACCATTTAATTATTAAAAAAGTTTTTAGTAACAACATAAAAAGTGTTTCCTCAGAAATCTCCTCATAGTTTGTAGTGACTACTACTTCAATAATCTAATATCTTTATTATGTTCAATCAACTTCACATATAATTTATAATGCGCATGTTTACAAAAACTATTGGGTGAAAGGAAATAGAGCAAATTCTATTTTTCATTAAAAATTGTTCATGATCTGGTTTTATAGGTATAGGTTCAATTTTACATTCAAAATTTATATCCCGCCTTTTTGAGTCATGTAATACAGATATACCTATGTAGAAAGGTTGGATTAGGATTAAGAAATGAACTTCAATCAACCAACTTTTCGGTCTGCTTATTCAGTTCTAAAAAGAATAGTATGATTATATAATTTGAGAGCAATATTTTATTGTTCTGCTATTCTAAATTATAAAATTTTGTTTGTCAGAAATAAGTATGAGAAAATATTTTCAGAACGAGACAAAATATTGGATACTAGTTACATGCGTTGAATATATTACAAATTATACTAATATACATGCAATTTCCGCATATTAAAATTTTTTGAGCAACAATAAATACCAATTAAAACTACGGATATTTAATAAAACTTAACATTAATCATCGTTTTTGTTAAAACTAATATTTTATTGGAATTTATCAACTTTATATATGTTGCAAATGCATGTGCCTAACTTTTTTGAAAATCAATCATTGGTTTATAGTGATATCACCAAGTTCAAATTTAAATTTCGTATCACTGACACGAGCTCCTATTGGTGCGCAAAAATTACATTTTAATGAGGACCTCATCAAATGGACGCATGCGCAGTAAGCCTCCATTACGACCTAGGTGCCTCGCTGGCCTCGCCATCTCTGATTATTTCTACAAAGACGCTGCCATTACGATACGCCCTCACAGGACAATTTTGGAGTTACAAAGGTAAGTTTTATTTTATAAAATATTTTTCACTATAGTATTTATCGTTTTACTAATATGTTTAAAATAAAGCCAGGTAAGTTCTTTATCATAAAACGACACCTAATGGTACACAAGAGGTAACGTTCCTAATAAAAATTGATATTTCTATAACAAAACGACACTTTACCCGTTATCCATATCATTGATGACAGCGCCAGCGGTGCTAATTTCTCGAAATTTTTGTTGAAATGCCCCCTACATCTAACTAAGATAAGTATGAATACATACGAATTTTCCTGATATATAATTTAGTTTAATTTTCATTAATAGACGAATTAGGAAAATAGGCCTCCTGCCCTATTTTTAACGCAGCTGCAGATAACTCGTAAAATGGCGTCAGCCCTATCCTTCTTGTGTAACCTACGTAAATGTGCGATTTTGCTCCCAATAGTTTTGGAGGGAGAAATTCAAAGTGTTTATTTTTTCTTCTGTTTAGTTTGTACATTTCATATTACAAGGAAAATTTTCCTCTATAACCTTTGATTTGCTTTTGTGTAAAACGTAAATAATAAAAATATTATTTTAGGTTTAAACAACACTATTCGTGAGAATTTTACCCAAAATAAGAAGAGTGCAGAATGGCTGCACCATTTACAGAAAATACTATTAAACTTGAAGATTCCGGTGAAAATGTTACAGAAATACAATCTTATTTGGCAGGTTTTCAAAAGGAAATAGGAAGTGATTCAGCAATTCAGCAAGTATCAGGTACATAATTTATTTTTATGAAATTTTTAATTTAGTTTCTCTTAACTCCAAAGTTTAATCGGTTTAATCTATATGAAGTAAATTACTAGAAAAATATTTGTATTTAATTTTTTTAATATATACAGATTCCAAAAATATTTAGTGGCGTGTAAAATAAATATTATTTTCTATATACATATATGTGTATACACATAGTAACAAAAAATTAAACACATGTTCCTTATGAGTATTGAAAAAGTAATTTTTTAGAGAATAAGTAACAGTTATAAACCTGTGATTACTATAATAATTATGGCAAAATTAAAATTAAATAAATTATTAATGGGTAGGTACTTTGTAAACAACATAAAATCCTCCGCAGTTTAAATTTTAAGATGAATCTTTATGGAAATAGACAAAAACACATCAAGTCATTAGGACAGTAAATTAGAAACAAATGTAGTTCCAAAATTAAATATATTTTACATGATTTGTGTTGACAGTTTACTTTTTAAAAGCGAATTCAGCTTGTTTCTTGTTAAGGAATACGTTAAAAAATGATATCTGGTATGTAACCCCTTTACATAATATATAAAAATATGGAATAACTGTGCTCTTTGAAAGCTCAATATAATCCACAATTCCTTTTTTAAATCCAAAATGTCTAAAACTGACTTCCTTTTTCGCCAGTACTGCAAAATTGCTAATAATATTTTCAGGTTTCATGTCGACAACTGCCTTTCCACGGAAAAAGTAAACCATTAATCCATCTTCTACATAAAGTGATGGACCCAATTGTAGTGCTGGCCACATATACCCCTTTTTCTTTCTCGCGAATACGATCTGAAATGGTTCATAACTAATTTTATTGTTGGCAATTGTAAATACAAATTAATCCGATTGTAATTTGCAAATAATTTGCTATACCGTTAAAATGATTTTATTTTTACTTACAACTGAGGTGTCTCTTCTTCGCTAGTGTCTGTTTCTGAACTTGTAGAAAATACATCTAATGATATTGATGAAAATGATTCGTCACTCATTTTTAAATTTTGACATTTTATTTCTGTAGCTGAATGTCAGTTTGCTTTAAATTAATATGTTTCATTTAAATCATTACTTTATAAAAACTGACACATTCTATTTTTAGTTTTATAAAAAAATATTGTAATTTTGAAGATTTTTTTTCAAAACTCTTGAGTATACATTTTATTTGAAGTTTTATTTTAATAAGGTGTAGAGTTTTTGTTCGATAAAGTATTTGATATAAAAAAATTGTGTTTAGCTAGAAAAATCAAAAAATTTTGATTAGAGTTTAGTAATGAATTACTGTTTAATTGGGTCAAAATTATATTCAACACATATTTACCCATGTATTCTAAAAAATGCAAATTATAAGCTTTAATTCAGGTAGAAATTCAATCATTCCTGTTTAAAACAGGACAATTAAATAACTAATTAAAATTTTCACTCAGGTAATTTAAGCATTTCAGGGAATAATAAATAATACTTAGAACCTTTAAAATCTACAGGGTGATAATTAAAATTCTGGGAATGATATTATATTTTCATTAAAGCCTACTTATCATTATTATTTTTTTATTGTTGAATTTGACAAAAATTGGTTAACAATTCCTGTAAATTTAAAAAGTCCGTGAAAAATTTTCATTGCCAATTGTAACATTAAATTAGTGTTTTATTATTTCTGTTTCTAAATGGAGTTAGCCGAGGAGTTAGCAATCTATGGAATCAAATAAATTAAATAAATAAAATGTTCACTAATTTGCTCGTTTTAAATATTAAGAGTTCTTCTTGAAAGGTATACTTAAATCAAAAGTGTATAAAATATGTTCAACCACAGAGAAAGACAGGAGGAGAATAATTGAAGCTCATAAGGAAATTATTTCCTAATTTATTGTTACAAAAAAAAAAAAAAATTAATGCTTAGAAATTTTTTATTTATTAGTTCATGTATTAAAATTAAAAATTATTTTTAATTTCAAACTTATTAATAAAAACTGCAAATTAGTGAATGTTTTATTTAATTATTTAAGTTATTTGATTGCTGTTTACATTTAGGAAGCAATTTTTCACAAAATTTGGGATAAACTCAATTGAAGGGGTGTAAAATCCAGTGGCAAAGATCAAATTTTAAATAAAAAAATTACTATTGCCACAAATTTTGTCAAATTTGATAACAAATAAAATTAGTCCAGCCGACATCCATGCTTTTGACACAGTTAATATGTTTGGGACGAATTAGGACCTATCTACGCATACAGTTATATTATATGAATTCATTACTTTCTATCATGATGTCGAAGAGAAAAGTGTTTAATAAAGAAGAAAAATCACATACAATATAGAGATTAAAAATCGTAGAAACTAATTAATATAAGCAAGCAAAAGAATGTGGCGTGTCACACTACGATTTCAACAATTTGGAAGGATAGAAATAAAGTAAAGTCTCTATTCGTAAACAATTCATTGAAAATGAGGCACGCGAGATCTTTTGAACACAAAGCAATACATGTACATACTTAAAGACTTGTATTGTAAATTTCTCATTTTTTCTATAAAAATTTTAAATAAGATATATGTAATTGCTTATTACGTCTATCGGTTATAACAACCGTAAACAAACGGACCCTTGGTAACCGGTTTTCACTGTATATAACGAAAATTTTCTTATATTTCATTTGAATGACGTCCACTGAAAATATAACATCATTTTCAGAATTTAATTATTATTTTCTGTTGTCTTCAAAGACAACACATTCCCCAAAATATACTGATTACACTGTCTTCTAAAACTCGTAGTCCTCAGAATCCTGCTTCCTCCATAGCATTCTAGTGCAAATATGACTGAGGTTCAATATTCAAGTCCAATATTTATATATCAGGTGTTCTCAAAGATGAGTTATTTATTTTAACAGTTGGTAGAAAGCGTAAAAAAGTCGATTTACCAAAAATTGTTTATATAAAAGTTGCCAAATAAAGCAATTATTAACAATTATTTAGAAAAAAGTTGAAATTTAAAAACTATAATACAAACCTGATTTGTTTTAATTTTTGACTACTGCGTTGTAAAAACGTAAATGGTAAACAAATAGTAACAATTTCGAACAATTTTTGTAAAACAATTTTGAACAATTTTTGTAGCACAGGTTTTTTATAACTCTCTTCTTCTGCAACTTTGATATAAACGACTTTTGGTAGATCGACTTTTTTTGCGAGTTTGCCAGCTGTTAAAATAAATTACTGAACACTGAGAACACTCTGTATATGTAGAATCATTTGATTAAAACAAATTCTATTTTTCGCTTTATCTAGGGGATGATGATGGAGAAGCTGAAGAAGGAACATATTTTGTGGATCAAGCTGGTCACTATTATTTTCAGGCGAAAGGGGAAACGCAGCCAGTCATGACGGTTATGTCGGGCATTGGCGAATCATCCGGAGGAGACGGAGAAGAGTTTATAATTAATCACGACAATGATGCCGAAGAAGGTGAAGATAGCGAGGAGGTAATATGACAAGTGTGATTTATTATAACGTCCCATAAATATTTTATAGAAGAGCGGCGTTTAATGAGTCAATTTTACAGCCGATGCAGATCCAGGGAGAGAACAATCAGATACTTATAAATTCTGGAAACGCGTATCAGCGGGTCACCGTTGTCCCGGCTGATACAAATTCTGGTGAACTGAGTTACGTGCTTATTGTTCAAGATCCTGATTTAAAGGATGGCGAACAAACAGACGGAGAACAGGACATGGCAGGTAATAATTTTTTTAAAAATTCAGCTGTGGACGTGTAAATTTCAAAAATATTTTATTTTATGTGAATTTTTCTTTTAGTTTACGATTTTGATGAAGCTGAAGAAGGGGGTATGGTGGACTCAGACGCGGAAGACGATAAGTCTAAAATAGTTAAAATTCTACCTCGTAAATCTCAAGTGGTGACCCAGGCGCATATGTGTAATTATTGCAACTATACCAGTCCCAAGAGGTACCTCCTTTCGAGACATATGAAGTCCCATTCAGAGGAACGACCCCATAAGTGTAGCGTGTGCGAGAGAGGTTTTAAAACGCTGGCGTCCCTTCAGAACCACGTGAATACCCACACGGGGACCAAGCCGCACGCGTGCAAGTATTGTGAAGCCGCTTTTACGACATCAGGTGAGTTAAAATATTTTAGTCGTAATTCTTCCAATTCTCATTGATTTTTTTTTGTCATTCCAATTGTAATGCATTTTTATTTATGATAGTCCCCAGTACTTCGCTCTTGCGAGTGCCTTATAACGAGTCCGACAAACTTTTCCTCTTTGAAAATTTTCGCCGTCGCCGCGTTTTTGAATGAGCGATTCCAGGAATTGTTCTGACGCTGTGCTTCAATGCGATACGTGCAATTTTCGTTTTTATCGGAATGGCCAGTTTTTATCACAAAACAATTTAAAAAATATTTGTCCGAACAAAAATCATGCCGTGTTCCCATTTGTCCACCATCCCTAAAATGTCTAAATGGCGTCATTAAGTGTCCTTATACATTCAAGTTTCATTTAGCGTAAATCGCTTAAGTAATTTGTGAAACAAACTGTGGTCCGACAAAAATCATGCAGCGTACGAGTAGTCCGATTCACAGTGGGAAATATTGGAAAAAATTCGAGCCACGCGTCAAAACTAATCAAATAGTACTCATTTTTTTTTATTCTTTCCGAAATTACCTGTACCATAAAGTTCCGATGAGGTAATTGGAATATATGTCTAGAATTTTTTCAAAATGGCCGAGTAATCTCTAGCCTCAAACTCGATCATACGAAGTTTGTCATATTCGGTATGGAAAACTGAATAAAAAAGGAAAATTATGTACTAAAGACTGCCAAACAAAAAAAATCATAAACATTAAACATATTCCTAAATCATGATCCAGCGTTGCCAGACGTCCCGATTTTTAAATCAAATGTCCCGTGCGGGACAGGCTCAGTCCCGCTTTTCCTGCTCTTGTTTTGTTTTTAATTTTCTCCAGGTATGTTATTAAGTAGATATTTTCTGATTACGTCTTTTTTTTTTAGACATTGATTTCTTTGAAAACAATTTGTTTCCCAGATATCCTGAGACTTTTTTTTTTAGGCATCAATTATACAAACGCGTCATGACTCCGGGTCTGTCATGAAATAGATCTGGTAACCCTTAGGATGTCCCGTTTTTGGACGAAAGAATCTCGCTTTTTTATTCAAAAAGTTTCAAAATCCCACTTTGTTGGAAAAAAAATCTGGCAACGTTGATCTAGACCCAAAACATAACCCTCAAATTTATAAATCTTAACCTAAAACGAACATACTCAATTTTTTTTAAACCTGTGAGTATAAATCCATAAAAATGGTACAGTGTGCAACCAATATTTTTGCGTAACTTTAATTAAAATTCATAGGAAGTTGTCCAGGAAACGTGATAACCTAACCTCAAATCCAAAATAATTAAGTTAAAAATCCACAGAAACAATATATTTTCTTCAACAAAGAATATGATTCTTCATATGATTGCTTCAAAAAGACATTCTGCATACGTAAAATTTAAATTCATAAAACGTAACCTTAAAGGACTAGAACCTAACCTCAAATATTTAAAATTTAAGCAAAAAATAATAAAAAGCAAACAAACCAATCCATTTTACGAAAAAAAAGAACCAAAATTTTGCAACTGCATGACACAAACCTAAGAACCTTGTAGCCTAACCTCTAATTTGCAAAGCCTAATATAAATGGATTGGTTTGTTTGCTTTTTTTATTTTTAGCTTAAATTTTAAACATTTGCGGTTAGGTTCTAGTTCTTTAGGGTTACGTTTTATGGATTTAAATTTTAGGTATGCACAGGAAAACATATATTGCCCAATGTCTTTTTGAAGCAATCATATCCTTTGTTGAAGAAAATATATTGTTTCTGTGGATTTTTAACTGAATTATTTTGTATTTGAGGTTAGGTTTTCAGGTTTCCTGGTCAGCTTCTTATGAATTTGAGTTAAAGTTATGCAAAAATATTGGTTGCACACTCAAAAGTACCATTTTTATGGATTTATACTATACTTGCAGGTTTAGAAAAAATTGAATATGTTCGTTTTAGGTTAATATTTACAAATTTGAGGTTATGTTTAGGGTCTAGATCCATGATTTAGGAATATGTTTAATGCTTATGACTTTTTTTTTTATTGGCAGCCTTTCGTACATAATTTTCCTTTTTTTTTAATTTTTTAGCTACCGAATATGTCAAAATTCGTACGATCGAGTTTGAGGCTAGAGATTACTCGGTTATTTTGAAAAAATTCTAGGCATATATTCCAATTACCTCATCGGAATTTTATAGTACAGGTAATTTCGGAAAGAATAAAAAAAATCAGTAGTAATAATAATATTTCCCACTGTGCATCGGACTACTCATACGCTGCATGATTTTTGTCGGACAAATATATTTTGAATTGTTTTGTCATAGAAACTGACCATTCCAATATAAAAGAAAATTGCATGTATTGCATCGTAGTATAGCGTCAGAACGATAATTCCCGGAATCGCTCGTTGGAAAACGTGGCAACACTGAAAATTTTGGAAGCGGAAAAGTTTGTCGAACTCGTTATAAAGAAAGCACTCGCAAAGTTTTTTGGCACTTGCATGTATCACTAAAACGCAAGATCGATGTACTGGAGACTATAAGATGTTGCCACTAGATGTTATTTCGTCAAAAAATAATTTTGCAAGATTGCATTTCAATTTTATGGCGTCTGTATGTAACACCTGCATCGTATGCTCATTTGTCGACTATCACTAAATTAGTATTGTGAAAAAATTGTGTTTTTTTAATCAACCAAAATCATAAATAAGTAGGCAATTACCACTCTGCTGGAAAAGTTTCTGCAAACTATAAATAAAAACACGTAAATTTTCAAAAATCGCTTTATTGTTTTTCAAAGTATTTGCCTTTGAGATTAATACACTGTTACATACGCTCGAACCAATCGGTGAAGCATGCTTTCCACTCTGCGACTGTAACCTCTGAAACTAGTGTTCGGAACGCGTCAACAGCTGATTCAGGTGACATAAATCGCTCACCACGCATCTTCCGTTTGATATGCGGGAATAAGAAGTCATTTGGTGCCAAATCTGGTAAATAAGGACAATGCATCATGACTTCGACATTTTGACTGGACAAAAACTCAACGGTTCGTTGTGCTGTTTGGAAGCTGGCGTTGTCATGATGAAGAATAATGCGCCGATTTCGGTTTGTTCTACGCACTTCATTGATGACTTCTGGCAAACAAATTGTTGTATACCAATAATCCGCAGTTACAGTCCTTCGGTCCTCTAAAACCACAGATGCCACATGTCCGGTATAATCAAAGAAGCAGGCAATCATTTTCTTTTTATTGGTTTCAACTCATTTTGAAACACCCAAACAGTGGATTGTTGTTTGCTTTTGGGCTCGTACGAATAAACCCAAGTTTCATCCCCAGTAACGATATTATAGATCAGATTTGACCGGCCTCGGTTGAATTTCTTGAGCATTGCTTCGCACCATTTAACACGAGTCTTTCTGAGCGTCCATCAAATTTTGTGGGATCCAACGACTGCACAGTTTTCGTATGTTCAAATGATCATGCAAAATCGTGTATATTGCTTTCATGTCAATGCCCAGGGATGTTTGAATCTCGCGGTATGTCACATGCCGATCCCTCCCAATCATTCCACACAACGCATCAACAATAGACGTGGATGGACAACCTTCACGAAATTCGTCACTAAGATAGGTGCGTCCACGATGGAATTCGCCAAACCAATTATTCACTGTCCTATTTGATGGTGCTTCATCCCCAAAAGCCAAATGCAGTCGATCGATGCATTGTTTCAGAGTAAGATTACATCTCTAATCGTAATAAATCATTGCCCGAAAAACGTGAAAGTTCCATTTCCACACTGAGCAGTTTCTTTTAAAACACCGTGCACAAAAAACTACTTTGCTGGGTACAAACTGTCAACTGATTTATAGGTTAAAAACGTCAAATTTTTCAAATATCACACTGACAGAACGTTGGCGCCACTGGACGTGGTGGATTGCAGAAACTTTTGCAGCAGCCTACTTAATACATTTTTGGGAATGGGGATTATTGACCATTTTTGTCAAAAAAGCAACATTAACAGAACATACAGGGTGTCCCGAAATTCATGCAACAAATTTGGTGATAGATTCTTAAGACAAATTTAGGGGACCTGTATTTTTTCTTTGTGCCAACTGGCCCCCTTTTTCGGAGTTACAGCTCCCTGAAATCTGCCTCTAAGAAGTCTTTTTTATGTCTCAAAACCATGTTATACGAGAATCACTAAATTTGATACACAGGGCTTTTATGACGTGTAATCTCACAATGGTACGCTTTTTGGCGAGAAACCCCCTTAAGACACTTTTTTGTGGGCTCCCTTGTCTTTGGAACCAGAAAGCTTTGGTCACAAAGATTTTTTTAAAAATTATTAGAAAGCCGTCATATTTAGAAACTTTTTTGTCTCTTGATATTTGTTTCGTAAAACTCAATGTTTTTGAGGAAAATGGCGAATCACGATATGCATTCGATCACATTTTGAAATTTTTTTCAAAAACATTGCGTTTTACGAAAAAAGTATAAAAGACAAAAAGTTTCTAAATTTAATGGCTTCCTAGTGGACAGATAATTTTTAAGAAATTTAAATATGCGACTAAATTTTTTTGGCTCCAAGTCCACGAAAAATTGTCTTAAAAAACGTAGCACCATCAGATTCCACGCCATAAAACCCCTGTGTACCAAATTTAGTGGTTCTCGTACAACACTGTTCTGAGATATAAAAAAAGATTATTCTTAAGGGCGGACTTCAGGGGGCTGTAACTCCAAAAGAGGGGGCCACTTGGGAAAAAAGAAAAAATACGGGTCCCCTAAATTTGTCTAACGAATTTGTGACCAAATTTTGTTGCATGAATTTCGGGACACCCTGTATAGCGAAACGAGCCCAAGAACGTTCTTCTTTGCTCTGAAAACGTGAATTTTGATGAATATTTCCTAGCCACGAGGACAAGAATATTTCTCAAAATTGCGGAGACCTTTTTCTAAAATTCTCCCTTTAGGTGAACTGGTCCGGCACGTGAGGTACCGCCACACGCACGAGAAACCCCACAAGTGCACGGAGTGCGATTACGCAAGCGTAGAGTTATCGAAACTGAAGAGACACATCCGCTGCCACACAGGGGAACGCCCTTACCAGTGCCCCCACTGCACGTACGCCAGTCCCGACACGTTCAAATTGAAGCGCCACTTGAGAATCCATACCGGAGAAAAGCCGTATCAGTGCGATATCTGCCAAACTAGATTTACACAGTCCAATAGCCTGAAGGCGCATAAGCTGACACACAATAGTAAGTCGCTAAGTATAAGGCGATTGCATGGTTTAAGTAGTTGATATTTTAGTTGGAGACAAGCCCGTGTTCCAGTGCGAACTTTGCCCGACGACGTGCGGTCGTAAAACTGACCTGAGGATACACGTTCAGAAATTGCACACTTCGGACAAGCCACTCAAGTGCAAAAGGTGCGGGAAATCGTTTCCGGATAGATATAGTTACAAAGTGAGTACTGTGGCTTAAATGATTTCGTAAAACAATGTTTTTCTGTGTCCAATGTCCATATTTAATTTTAATTTTTACTTTACTTCAAAGGTATTCGATCTAGTTCAAATGAATTTTAAAGGTTTTCCCAAGATACTTTTTTCGATTGAGCATATCTACCACAATAAAAAAAAAAAGAATAAATATTTGCATAAAGTTCAATTTTTGAATAAAAAATTACTTTTCCGTAACACCCTCGTTGTCGTATTGCATTGTTACGGGGTTCGCCTCACTTTGGACGTCATTTCCTCGCATTGTGTTACATTCTTGTTTTTGTTGCGTTATCTGAATATTTTTTTAATCCAAAACTATGTGTCTTAAATAATTTTGTTGTCGCGGTTCGATAGCCCCGAAACCAAACTTATGTTTCAATCCTGACAAGAACGCAGGACCCTTCGGAAGTCCAGGTGGCGTAGCAACTACAAAGTCGCCTGTCTATGCTCGCAGGGACCACACCTCGGCCGATCAATGTTAACAATGCCCAGATTCGTTTCCAGCCGGTTTGCTAATTTACGCGATCTCACTTCTCGTTATCTCCTCTGTATTAAGAGGGCTTTATAGCAAATAGGCAACCACAGTTTGTCTAAATATGAATCAATGCACAAATAACAGACTTTCCTCCATTCTATTGCAGATTTTCTATAAAATGGAGTTAGTTTGAAACTCAAATTACTTTTCGTTGTAAAGAAACTTGTAATTTGCCGCTTTTGGCATCGTAAATTACAAATATTTTCACAACAAAAAGTTATTTGAGTTTCAAACTTAGTCCATTTTATAGAAAATCTGCGTTAAAATGGGGGAAAGTCTGTTATTTGCGCATTAATTCATATTTAGACAAACTTTAAAAAAAAAAAAAAATAAGATTTTGGGACTGCTAACCAACTTTTAGCAACCAATTTGTTGGATGTGCCCAACAACCGATCGCCTGGTGTTCCTTGATACCGAAATAAAATAAATAAAGGCAAAATCTTCGATACGACGAGCGAACAACACTCACTGATACTAAAATAAAATAAAACCGAAAATGTTCTGTTACGATGCGCAATACTTCCTTGTCGAGGTTTCGAAATTAACTGACTAAACTGAAATTAAATAAAGTTAAAAATCTTTGTTACAATGCGCAATTGCCTGTTGAAGAGTCGGACGGAACTAACTCGAATATAAAATAAAACTAAAAACTTCTGATCCGACAAGTGGCGTTTTACATTGAAGTTCCAGAACTAACCGATTCAAATAATGAAATTTAATGACTTTTTTAACAAATTTTGCGCACACATTGTATGGGTGTAACCTCAGAAACAATTCGACGAATTAGATCGCCTTTATAAAAAAAAGAAAGGGTTAACTTAAAAACAACTATTATGAAACTGAAAAATATTGCAATAAACATTGTTTTATAAAGTATTTAGATTAATCATGAATGAGGTCTGAGAGTAATTTGTGTTTTTGTAAATATCCAGGGTGTGGCATTAGTGTGTCGAAGTACGATATCTCCTTTATTATAGATATCAAAAAACAAAGTTATTTACAAAAATTGTAGCCAACTTAAAACTGCACGTTTTGAAATTATTTTCGTATGTACTGAGTGTTACATATTACCAGGGAGAACCAAACATATTGTTTTTTAAATGGGACACCCTATATCAGGGGTCGGCAAGTAATTTTAGGTGGGGTCCGGATACTTTTGAAAATTTTTAACGAGGTCCAGAAAAAAATTCACATTTCTTATTTTTTGTTTATAATAGGAATTTTTTAAAAACTTTTTATTAAATGGTAAATATCTCGGAAATTAATGATTTTGGCTATAGGGAATGCTTTATAAAAATAAACTAACAGTGTTTTTCAGTTTTCAAAATAAACTACGGAGTGATTCATTTAAAAAATTTAGAAAATTATGTGCTCGAGTTTTGGCTCGTCCTGTTGCAATAATAAAGAAATAGTACTTTCTTGTAAAATTGTATCGATATCAAAAAGTTATGCCTGCAAAAAATTACTGTTAAGTTGTTCTGTTCAGGGTATACAGGACAATGAAATGGGAATGATTCTCGTATACAATTGACCATAACTTTTAAAATACCCTGTATAACATAATTACACCCTATATTGGAAGCATTGGACAGATAAGCTTAATCTTAATTTGAAATAATATATAGGGTGTTCCATTTAAAAAATAGTATATTTGGTACACCCTGGTAATATGTGACACCCTGTATATACGAAAATAATTTGAAAACGTTCAGCTTTAAGTTGGCTACAATTTTTGTAAATAACTTGTTTTTTTGATATCTTCTATAATAAAGGAGATATCGTATTTCGACGCACTAATGCCGCACCCTGTATAATTTTCAACGCAAACACATGAAAAACCTAATTAATTTTTACCAAGGTTGAAATACCACAGTAACTTCGTTTACTTTTTGATTTTGATTTGTCACTGTCAATTTTATGCAATTTTACATTTATTTTGAAAACGATGATTTTCTCGAATTAAATTTTTTATATTGTCTGAAGATTTGTGACATTGTTTTTGATTTTTTTCTTTATTTTTTTGGGTATTTTGCCACCTGTGAAAAAAATTGAAAAATTAGTGAAAGCGACGAAAGGATCAGTCAAGGGTTATTTTTATGAAACTAGTTTTGCTTAACCAAAAAAATCTCACATTGAAAAAAGCAGACAAATACAAGATACAAAAAAACACATCGCTTTATATTGCACACTCTAAAAAAGTTGTTAACGTTTTAAAAATCCATCTGTGTTCGTCTTCTGAACTTGTTTTGACTTTTCGTTTTAGTTTAAATTGTCAAAAGAAACTAAAACGAAAAGTCAGGATAAGTTCAGAAGACGAAACCAGATTGTCGAAACGTTAACAACTCTTTGAAGTGGCAGAAACATACAGGGCTATCCAAAAGTCCCCCGGCAGGAAAACTTTCAAAGAATGCATTTTGGGAAAAAACGTTCCAGACAAAAGTGTAAGGATTTTTCCCTGGCTATCTGATGGTGACCTTGGATTTGACTTTGACTTTGACCGTCAAGGTCAGTTGAAGGTCAAGTCATGTTTATTTAAATGGAAACCCCTATTTTTTATTGCGGAAAATTTTACATCCAAATATGGTCTTGACCATAACTTTGATAATGACCTTCAAGGTCAAATGTTGGTCAAGTTCCAAAAGTCCCGGTACGGTGGAAAAACTTTTGAAGAATGCATTTTGGGAAAAATGTTCCAGACAGAAGTGTAAGGATTTATCCCTAGCTATCTGATGGTGACCTTGTATTTGACCTTGACTTTGACCGTCAAGGTCAGTTGAAGGTCAAGTCATGTTTATTTAAATGGAAACCCCTATTTTTTATTGCGGAAAATTTTACATCCAAATATGGTCTTGACCATAACTTTGATAATGACCTTCAAGGTCAAATGTTGGTCGAGTTCCAAAAGTCCCGGCACGGCGGAAAAACTTTCGAAGAATGCATTTTGGGAAAAATGTTCCAGACAGAAGTGTAAGGATTTTTCCCTGGCTATCAGATGGTGACCTTGGATTTGACCTTGACTTTGACCTTCAAGGTAATTTGAAGGTCAAGTTAAGTTTTTTAAATGTGAACCCCTATTTTTTATTGCGGACTTGGAAAGAGCAGGAAATTTTACGTCCAACGATGGTCTTGACCATGACTGTGACAATGACCTTCAAGGTCAAATGTGGGTCGAGTCCCAAAAGTCCTGATACGGTAGTACGCCCGACCAATTAACGCAAGGTAGCAAGGTGGCGGGGTTTTTGGGGACGCTGATCACGCATCTGAAATCGGTTTTTAAAAATTCGTAATACAAGATGATGGATTCAAGATGGCGATCAATATTTTTTAAAAATCAACCAATTTACGCCAAATTTGATATACATAGGTTTTTGGGGTTGCTGATCACGAATCTGAAATCGGTTTTTAAAAATTCGTAATACAAGATGGTGGCTCCACGATGGCAGACAATATTATTAAAAAATCAACCAATTTACGCCAAATTTGGTATACGGGGGTTTTTGGGGTCGCTGATTACGAATATGATCAGTTTTTGAAACTTCGTAATGTAAGATGGCGGACAAGATTTTTAAAATGAGTTTTGGTACCATCAAGATGGTGCACCTGCTCATTTTCGGTCGATTGAGAGAAACTGCCTAGATGTAGTATTTAATAATAATGGTTGGATAGGTCGGAGAGGAACTATTGAAAGGCCAATTAGGTCCCCTATTCTGTGTCCACTTGACTTTGAGGCTACATAAAAAATAAAGTGTACGCTCCTAAACCACAAGATTTAGAAGATCTAAAACAAAAAATAGACAATGTATGCGCTGGTATTACACCTGACATGATAAGGAGTGCAATTGAAAATTCTTATGTCCATCTAGAAATCTGCCAAAATGTTGATAGAGAACATTTTGACCATAGGTTGTAAGCCTTGTCTTAACTGGCCGAGATTGTTAGCCATTCCTTAACTAGCCGGGCTATCTCCATGCCTTAACTGACTAGGATCGCTAGCTACCCTACAGTCACTGAAATTTTTTTAAATTCTCGAAAAAATCTTTTTAAAATGACCTTCAAACACTGTTTCAAGGCCAAGAGCTTGATTATGGTCATATGTGATGACAGTTGTCTGGACATTAGATAGATACACATTTATTTAGCAAATGCTATACATACAAACGATTACATAAACTCAAGCAACAAAAATCCTTAAAATAGAAATATATAAAAGTTTACCCTGGTAGTGACCTAATGTAACTAACAATTAGCTTATTGAAATGATTAACTGGCCCATTACAATTTTTTATATATTCTGGTAGCTTATTGTATTGCATAAGACCCTGGTAAAATAAAGATTTACTAGTTCTTAATAAATTGTGTCTTTCTATATAAAAGTCATCCTTTTGGCGAGTGTTATAAACATGTCCATCTCTTACATACGTTATTCTACTGTGCAAATAGCTATGTCCAATTTTAAAATGTCCGGACATTTGCTAACACTAATTTTTTATATTTTGTATGTCTCATTTTTTCAGTGTGAGATTTTTTGGTTACGCAAAACTATTTTCATGAAAATAACACTCACAGGTGGCAATATAACCAAAAAGAAAAAAATTAGGCATTTTGTATCTGTGAAAAGTATGCAGATCTCTTAACTACTTTATTTATTACTTTAGAAAACCAAATACATAATTTCACAACACATTCAATACTAAATATACAATATTCAACTAGTGCGATGTGATTAATTAAATCAGCCTCTGGTCCGTGTACAATTTACTTTCAGACCTAAATTTTTTTTGTTTTGTAATTTTACCCACATTTTGTTTAGTTAGAACGTATTCATACTGTTACATGAAATTTAAAGGAAACCAAACCAACACGGACTTTAATTTCACAGCTCCACAATAAGTCACACGAAGGCGAGAAATGCTACAAGTGCGATCTGTGCCCTTACGCTTCCATATCGGCCCGACATTTAGAATCCCACATGTTAATCCACACGGACCAGAAACCATACCAGTGCGACAGCTGCGACCAGGCATTCCGTCAGAAACAGCTTCTCAAGCGACACCAGAACCTCTACCACAACCCCGAGTACATTCCCCCGCCCCCCAGAGAGAAAACGCACGAGTGTCCAGAGTGCTCGCGCGCCTTCAGACACAAGGGCAACCTAATCCGGCACATGGCCGCCCACGATCCCGACCCCAGCATCCAAAGGAAGCAACTGGAATTGAGACTGGGTAGACAGAAGAAGATTCAAATGATAGACGGCCAACAGGTAGAGGTGATGCCCGGAATCGGATCGGATGAGGAGGAGGAGATCGATATGATGGCAGTGGAAGGGTCCGACGGGCAGCAGTATGTCGTCCTGGAGGTTATTCAACTGGCCGACGGGGAGGAACAGGCCATGGTGGTTGGGGACAGTTCTGGCGAATTGTTAGGGGAGAATATTTTACCTGATAGTGGTAAGTCATATGTCGATTTTTTTATAATTATACAGGTTGTTATTTTGAGTGTGTGTCATATTTATGCATAGGCTACTTTGTTTGTTGTCTCAAATTCCATCATGAAAATTGAGTTGTCTTTTTTATTTATTTTTTTTTATAATTCTCAGTCACGAGCTATGGCATGTATTGTTGTCAAATTTGATATTTCCTGATTCGCTAAAATTTAACAATGAAGACACACAAACACACCGTACCATTATTAAACCCTAAAATAATTAACTTTAAAACGACAGGACACTTTACTAAATGCACATTAAATTTAATTTTAAAATTCTTACTAGAATCTCTACAATATAGTAATTAACAAAGCAAATGTACTAATACAAAGGGTTTAGGTACTATGGATTGGTTTAAAATTATGCAGTTTTAGAGGGCAAGTACTTACGTTAATCTGGGGACAGGTATCGTAGGCATGTCAAGCAGTAGAGCTACGAAAAAGTGTAAATAACTACCTAACATAATAATAAGGAATACCTGTACATATCGTGGCATAGCTACGCATTAACGTTTAAAAAAGACTACTGCTTCAATCTTTCCGGTGTATCAAATAATGGCCGTCTGTTGTCGAGGAGACCCCAGAAAAATGCAAAATTAAATATGAAGACGCAATGAAAACGTTACAAAAATGCTCCCGAACGAAGGACAATCGTCTGGGCACTTTGTGGCCAGTCGCACGCCGCTTCGCGGCTTGCGGGAAAGGAATTTTGTGAGGCAAAATACACGTTTTCAAGCCTCGCGATTTTAACGTATTTACAGCCGCATTTTGAATCCTGCATTTGATTTCGCGGAAAGTTATACAGAAAAAGTTTGAAATAGGCACCCAGTCGATAAATATGAATAGTTTTGGAAAAGTTTTTAATAAAATACCGTAGAAAATAGGTAAAATAAAAAATAAAAAAGCCGTACCCGCGCGCAATTTGAGGCGATCGTCAGATTTCATCGGATAGGCGTATCGCACACGTTCTGTCTGCGTTCCTTACGAAAAATAGGTCGCGCCCTCCGAGGGTCTCCGGGAAAACGCGAATTTAGGTAGGAAGACGCAGAAGAACCTCCACCGAAATAGGCAGCGAGGACGGCGGGGAAAGCCATCTGTCTAGCAAATTGGCGCTTTTTCGGGGCGAATATGCGACGCGGCCCGAGCTATCAAATTTTAATATATAAGAATATACAGGGTGATTCAGGTTTAATCTGAATAACTTCAGGAATCGATAGAAAACGTTAAAATAATGGTCATTCATGATATAAACTTTTTCCTAATTCGCATCGTTTCGGAGATAGAGGGCATTGAAGTAGGATTGTTTTTCCTTTTTCTTAGCATTAAAAATATTTTTGAAATAATACTTTTAACGATGATTTTTACAAACGTCAGTTTATACAAATCATTGAGTTTTGTTTTTCATGGGTTGCTATAAGGTTAAATGAAATTTGCGCGGCTGTGGCGCTACACTGTCACGGATTTCATTGAATATCTCAGAAACAAAGCCAAATATCGAAAAAAAAAACAAGAGACGAAAAAGTTTCAAAATTAATGAGAAAAGTGGTGCGCAGCTGTTTTATTGAAATTAATTAATTTTTTCAAAGTATGTACGATTATAAGAAGTATTTGTGTTCCGAATTTCACCTCAATCGGATGAGTAGTTCAAAAGTTATGAGGGAAAAGCGGAAAAAAATTCCTACTTCAACGCCCTCTATCTCCTAAACGATGCAATTTAGGAATAAAGTTTATATCATGAATGCACATTATTTTAACCTGTTTTATCGACTCTTGAAGTTATCCAGATTAAACCTGAATCACCCTGTATTGAGGGTTGTAGGTGGTTTACGCTCTCACAATGACCTTGAAAAAGGTGCATTTTGCCGCCAGAATAGCTTTTTTTGCGAGCCGCACAGCAGCGAGCGGCAGGGCCCTTGGGGTTTTTGCCTTGTGCCCACATCGTATTTTGAGAGCAATTCCTTGACGTCTTTGGGGTGAAATTTCCCCTTTCCGGGGGCTCTTCCGCCAAAAACGCAAATTTTCGCTGTGGGAGATGAAACCCGATGGGAACGCCCACTTTCGAAAATCCGAAAACTGACCGAATGTGGGTCATTCGGATCGCGGTGGGTTGTTATTTTGCAGTTACGGACTGGTTCTGATAAAACTTGGTTTGAACATTTTATAGTTTGTGTTTAAGTCTACAGAGACCCAAACTTTCAAATAACCGGTACAGGTCCCACCCATCGATAGGTCGCCGTAGTACAGTTTGTGAGTTCACGACTGTGAAGCCAATTAGGCCAACCAATAGAGATTTTTTGGCACACTTAAATATTACAGCTAATTTCATGTATTACCTTTTGAAAAATACGTAGTAAATGAAAACCTAAGTGATTTCCCCAGCAAAGTCGTGAACAATTTTTTTTTAACAATAAAAACTGCAAAAAATTAACATTTTTTTGTTTTTTTGTTTAATAATATCTCGCAAAATGATGATGGAAAAAACCTCCAAAGTAGACCTTTTTTTAAAAAATTTATAACTGCGTCAAATTTGAAGTTGGAAAAACAATCTTGCGGAAAATGACAGATAATAATATGTAGTTTAATCATGAGCAAGATGATTTCTGTCCGATACATAGTTTTTACACAATTGCATTATTAACAAATTAGGGTCTTTTTTTGTACAGATTTACCAAAAATGGTCCGATTTAAATTCTGAAAACGGCATCTGAAAGTAGATGACAAAATCTTCAATTTGTATATCTTGGATTTTCGCCTAGACGATGGGAAATATACTAAAAATGACCTTGAAAGAGTCGGGTAGCGGTAGTGGGGGAAGCAGCTTTGGAGCCAAAAAAATTTGGTCGCATATTTGAATTTCTTAAGGAAGTTACTGAATTTAGAAACTTTTTTGTCCCTTGATATTTTTTTCGTGAAATGCAATGTTTTCGAGAAAAATAGCGAATCACGATATGCATTTGACCACATTTTGCAATTTTTCTTAAAAACGTTGCGTTTTAGGAAAAAAGTTTCTATAATCAATGGCTTTCTAGCGGACTAAAGAAATTCATGTATGTGACCAAATTTTTTTGGCTCTAAAGACAAAGGGGCCCTCGAAAAATTGTCTTAAAGGGGATTCCCGGCAAAAGGTGCAGCACAATCAAATTCCACATCATAAAACGCCTGTGTATAATACCAAAGTTGATTCTCGTACAACAGGGTTCTGAGGTATAAAAAAAGATTATTCTTAGCGGCGGATTTCAAGGGGCTGCAACACCGAAAGAGGGAGCTACTTGGCAAAAAAAAGTACAGATCCCCTAAATTTGTCTTAAGAATTCATGACCAAAGGAGGTGGGCCCCTAAGGCCGGTTTTTGACTTAAATTATTTTTGGCTGAAAAAAATCTGAAAAAAATATTTTTAGCACCTACCAGCAACACTGAATCGTTTCCACCCTAAACGGACCAACCGTCTCACCCTCCTTTCCCCCTTCCTCCCCCTTAAATGCCGGGGAAACCATCGCTTATTAGAGGAATCTTTAAAGAGCTTAGAAATGCGAAAGACGTTCAATTTCTATGAATCTTACATATGAAGAGTTTTTTGGGTCACTGATCACTAATCTGGTCTCAGAATCTCGAAATTCAAGATGACGGATCCAATATGGCGGACAAAAAATTAAAATGTCTTCAAAATGCACGAATTTTTATGTTGGGGGTTTTTGTGTCTTTGGGTATCCCATTTGGCGAGTATAAAAATTGGAATGTCTTCAAGATGCACAAATTGTGTTGACGGGTTTTTTGGGTTGCTAATTACGATATATGGAATACGTCATTTTGAATTTCGTAATTCTGCCTTCAGATTTGTAATCCGAGACCTAAAAAACCCCACTACACAAAAATTCATGCATTTTAAAGACATTTTAATTTTTTTATCCGCCATATTGAATCCGACATTTTGAATTTCGTGATTTAGAGTCTAGATTTGTAATCATAGACCCAAAAAATCCCATTATAAAAAAATTCATGCATTTTGAAGACATTTCAATTTTCTTGTCCGCCATATTGGATCCGCCATTTTGAATTTCCTGATTCTGAGACCAGATTCGTGATCAGCGACCCAAAAAACTCGTCATATGTAAGATTCATAGGAATTGAATGTCTTTCACATCTCTAAGCTGTTTAAAGATTTCTCTAATAAGCGGTGGTTTCCCCGGCATTTAAGGGGGTGGAGGGGAAAGGAGCATGAGGGAGTGGGCGCGTTTAGGGCGGAGCGATTCAGTATTGCTAGTAGGTACTAAAAATATTTTTTTCAGATTTTTTCAGCCAAAAATAAATTAGACCAAAAATCGACCTTGGAGGCCTTCCTCCTTTTGTTGCATTAATTTGGCATGATGCCGTCATTTTGCTGGAAATTATGATAAATGGATTGCTGGAAGAGTCGTACCAAGGAGTGCAAAACCTCAATATATTTGTTTAAATACCAACCAAATAAGGCTGTTTAGGGTCCCCTAAATCATGTCCCTATTCTCTGTTGCTAACTTCATATCTGTCAAGGGGGTAATGAAGGTAAAAATACAGACATTCTTTAATCTAAGTTTTCCTGAAAGATTCTGTATTTTTCACCTCTAAATTTTTTATTCCATTGTTTTTCAGATCTAAACGACGAGGATGTCCTTAAGGCTCTACAGTCTGCTAGGAGAGTTGCCAAAGAAGAATTACAAGATGATGAGGAAGAAGACAAGAAAATTGCTACGACGGCGAGTGATATGCAGAATTGCTTCGGATTCGATGTAAGTTTACATCGAAAAATGTATTTATTTTAAACCCTGTGACATTTTTGTGAATTTTCTTGCAGGAAGACGAAGAGGACGACGACGACGGTGTGAGGACGGGAAAGGAAACGATTACGCTTTTAGGTGGCATTGACTGAATTACTTTTTAATAAAAAGAAACTATTTGAAACTAGTATTGTTGTAAATTTTTTACTTATTTTTTTTAAGTAAATTTTGTATAATACATCTCGTAATATTTTATGTTCAATTTTCAACGAATGTTGTTTATCTTTATAGGTGTATGTAAATTTTTGTACATAATAACGCACTTTATTATTCCATTTTTATAAATAGCACGTTTTTTTATCATTCAGGTGTAAATAGTCATACAACTTGTTTCTAGATGTATTAAATGATTTAAATAACATTATTAAATTAAGATAAATTTTTTTAAAATAAAAAATAAAATTTTGAGAGTTCGGATTTTTTTTTCAGAATAGAATATACAGGGTGATTCATAACTTAATTAAAAAAAAATTTGGGAATAGATGCGGCATGAGAGAAATCCTTACAGTTTGCGAGAACAAAATTATTGAAGTTGTAGTACTTTCAACCATTACATAGCTGGACAACTGTAATCTGTAGCGTCATTTGTAATACGCGTCAGCGACTCGGAATACTAAAATCCGATTTTACAATCGTTGCGTTGGTGTTTACAATAGTTTTTTAGTAGTTAGTGTCAAGAATACAGTTTCTTGATGGATACCTACCAGAAACCCTTATTCCCTGAAGCCCCCTGAAAATGTGTTACAACTTTACTTTTACTGGGTTTCTCTTCGGATGCGGCTCTACATAGGAGTGTATCCTCAATCATGGTCTATCAGAAATTCCTAAAGGTAATTGTGAATGAGTCGAAAAAATTAACTCGGCTATAAAATTATATCTAAAGGCTTTAGTGTAAAAAAAAAAGATGTAGGGTATAAAAAAACAATGACTGACATATCAAATAAGCAGAAACAATATCTGCATTGTAAAATCTGTACTTAACCTTGAGCTTCGCCTTTTTCTTCTTTTTGTTGTAGCTCTAATAACAGCCATACAAAAAAGTTGTACTTTTCATGCGTCATAATATCTTATCCGTCGTATTTTTGCCTCCTGATCACGAATCCGGTGTCAGAATTGAGTGATCACATCACAGGAATTTCTTAACCTCAAAAAAACGTCAAAAATGGCAAAAATTCACGAAAAAGTGCTAGGCAAGATACAAAGAATTTTATTGTCAATATTCAAATGTTCATTTATATGGCTAAGACCCCGTCGAACGTGAATCCGCGGTCAGAATTGATGGTTCTTTTTCTAACCTCAAAAAACGTCAATTAAGGTCAGATCAAGAATTTTCAAAACATAACAGATTCGAGCCAAATTTGGTATACGGGGGTTTTCGGGGTCGCTGATCACGGATCCGAGGTCAATTTTGCAAAATTCAAGATGGCGGATCCAAGATGGCCGAATGTGTTATTTTTTAATAATTTGGTCGGCCGTCTTGGATCCGCCATTTTGAATTTTACAAAATTGACCTCGGATCCGTGATCAGATACCCCGAAACCCCCCCTGTAGCAAATTTGGCGCGAATCTTATTTTTTGTAAATTCGTGATATCTTACCTTAATTGACCCGTTTTTTTGAGGTTAGAAAAGAAACCATTAAATCTGATCGTGGATTCACGTTCGGCGGGGTCTTAATATAAATGAAAAGGTATTTGAATACAGGGTATGCCATTTAACACTCCCGCTGCCAATATATCAGAAATGAAGAAATTTATTTTAGTTCCGGAAACTGGGGTTGTTAGGTCCCTCGAATAGCTTCCAATTGTAGTTAGAACTGTTAGTTCAAATCTATCTGTAAAGATGGCGTGGCGATACTAAAAAATTTTTTGATCCTTGAAACGTGGAAATGCAGTCCATCTGAAAGATCGGTTTTTGAGTAATTTTTGTAATATAAAGTTTTTCCCTTTATTTGCGCAAACTGATTAAACTGTAATTATTGGAAAACTATTATGTGTCATCTGTCATTGTTTTATTTTAAACAAATGACATGAGCCACCTATGACTACATTTTTTAATAACATTTGATAAAATGCGGTTCGTCTCTGACCCTTATAAGATTTACCATTGTACAATTTTTTTTTCTGTAGTTAATCATTCGTTTTTTTTATAATTTATTGTTTGTTAGTTAGTATATGATGTGAATAAAGCCATTATAACAATATTTTAAAGGAATATTTTTTCTCAGTGTTATTTAAATAAAATTATCGATTTTTCTGGTAGGTACCTATATCATTCATTGCATATTGAAGTCGACATATCTCGAAAACAAGTAAATGTAGGGAAAAACTTTGTATTACAAAAATTACTCAAAATTTAACGATCTTTCAGATGGACTATATTTCCACGTTTCAGGGAACAAACATTTTTTTAGTATCGCCACGCCATTATTTATACAAAAATATTTGAAATAACAATTCTAACTCCAATTTGAAGCTATTCGAGGGACCTAACAACCCCAATTTCTGAAATTAAAATAAATTTCTTCATTTCGGAGATATTGGCAGCGAGAGTGTTAAAGGGCACACCCTGTATATCTATAAAAAAAAATTGTGTTTTTCCTAGCACCTTTTCGTGAATTTTTGCTATTTTTGACCTGTTTTTTGAGGTTAGGAAATTCTTGTGATGTAATCACGATGTGATACAGCTCAATTTTGACACCGGATTCGTGATCAGGACGCAAAAATTCTACGGATAACATATGTCACATGAAAGTACGGACATTTTTTTCTGTGTGACTGTGTAATTAATAATACCATAAATTAGTCATTTACAGTTTAAATTTGAAATTCTCGTTGGTTAGTAGATGAAATAAATAATTAAATAAATAAACTAAATGAGAAGTACTTCAGTTTATTAAAGCATCTAAATTTAGGTAGGTAGGTAGGTACGCAAGAAAAATTTATAGTTTAGCCTTAATCAAATATCAAAATGCCTATGATTAAATTATAAAGTGTTAAATAAGCCAAACTGAAAGAATAGTAAGAATATAATCTTGTAAACCCGAAACTAAATTAAGAAAGGTCATTAAATATACAGGAACTTAAAACACTCCCGCGTTACAAAGCGAGACAGTCGGACAGAGTCCAAAGAATTTTTAAGACATTAAAGTGTAAGCCCTGAATCATTTTTCCTTTTTCAATTTAACAATTTATTTCACATAGAGAAACTGGTAACTTTGCGGTTACCTAATTGTCGCAAATCGTAATACAGATTTTGGAAGTCATCTTAAAATTGGCATTGTTTATTGTTTCATATCTTATTTATGTTATTGTTTTGAACAGTGGCGTATCCAGTAGAAGCATCTAACTTAAAATAACTTATATTCCCATTAATTTAGAAACGAAGCGTTTTTCGATAATTACTTATAGAAACTTTTTTTTGTAATTTTTTACTTAAAATCCGCCATTAATGTTTAACCAAGTATTGTAGCTATATCCTGTATGCTCTCATGTATGAACTATAATTTTATTTGCAAACATTTTGTTTTACTTTAATAAAATATACAGGATGTTCTATAGGTAAAGACACATGCTTTAAACAGGGTCGCTTCCGCTCTGAAAATATCTACAAACAACAAAAATATGGCTATGTTCTACGTAAAAAACTAAGTTCATATTCATATTTGACCACCCCAAAAGCTTTCCCACATTCATTGAAGTATCTTTAAAAAGTGACAGACATTATTTTGAAACAATGAAATTTAAAAATATTTGAAGTGTAAATTTTTAAGCAAATAGAATTGTAATAAGGTAACTTGATCTAAATCGGTTTATTTTCAGCCAAGAAAAGTACCTTTAAGATATGTAAAGTTATATATGGGAAACCTCTATCTTATGTTAGATAATTTGAAAAAATGCAAAGCTTGATTAAAAGCACAAATTTTTCATTTACAGATAAAATACATATCACAGGATCTGTATATAATATATAGACAGTTGTATCTACGTTCTAGATGGTTTCAAACTATTTTTACACACTTAACTGTTAAAGATTATTAATTAAAGTATATGAAAATATCAGTATGTTTCATAGAAACTATTAATTTTATACAGGGTGTTAATAAAGTACCCAAAAAGGGTGTATAAATATGATTCCATAAGTCTATAGTTTTCGAGAAAAAGGAGATTTGAAAAAATCACCTTTTCTAAAATATCTTTGAAAACATTCGATGAAATTTAAACTAATGATTTATTTAATTAAAGGTAAAAATCTGCTGAATATCTTTAATTTTTTTTTAGAAAAACGATTCATTTTCATTTCATAAAAAAACTTCATATTAATTTTTTTTTCAATATAAAATTTTAAATACAACCAGTGGCGGTTCTGGACTTACAATCGAGGGAGGGCGGAACAATTTTGGTAGAAATTTTTGAAAAAAAAAAAAAATTAAATATAATTGTGTAGGTAGTTTTATTTTAAGTACTACTGAAATATAGGGAAACTGTACTCAACATTATTTTTTTTAGTGAAAATCCATTCCATTCTTCTGCTTTTGTCCGTACTTTTCCATTAATGTTTGGTATTTCTTACACCATTGATTTTTCAATAGGTATCATTGCAAGTGCTGTCACTTTGTCTTTATAATCAATTTAAACTTTTACAATATTTTAAAAAACATACAAAAAACAATACGTAGGTAACAAAATTTTACATCCCACATAAACAAATTACGTTTAATAAAAAAAAGAGTAATGAATAGCTATCATTTGGTAATTGGCGGACTAAACAGAGCCCAAACTGCACAGTAATTATGCGCTACTCCCACTCCGTCTTTTACTGCTGCGCGAAGGTAACCATGACCACCGACATAAACACCTTACGAGCGGGCTACGATGAGGTGCTAACGTATTCAGAATTACAGATCTAACATTTCCTTTTTAATGCGTTGCATTAAAAACTATTGAATTATCTATATAACATTGTAAATTAAATTTGTAGGGGTGGGTGTCGCCTAGGGCCCCCCGCATCAGCCGCCACTGAATACAACGTAATCATGAAAAGTCTGAGAATTTTTTTCCCGGGCTTTACCGTTTGCATGCTGCCTATGACAATTGATTTTTTTAGGATTTAATTTGTCGGTGCACATGTTGCAAGTGACCCATTTTGAAGTACAACGTCAAGAACGCCGCCGGACGCACCACGGGGTTCCCGGAAGCCGACCCCTGCAGAATGGCGCCAGGACCAGGTACTTCTGTCACCGACTAGCTACCTACGACCGACTTCAACCACGAACACTCTCCAACGAATACTCACCCCGTCAACACGTCTTTTCATACACAAGTTTTCAATAAAATTATTTATTATTATTGTTTAGAGAGCGTTTTATTCTTGCTGTACAGCGAAAGCAAGCCTCAAATTTATTTTATGAATTGCTATTTTTGGACAAAAAATCCTGCGAACGTTTTTTTTTTTTTGGAAAACAAGTAGTTCTAGAGTTCATTTATGTTTTGGGGGTATTTCAAAATTTAAATTCGAGAATTATTTGTGTTTCGAATAAAATAATGTAATAGATATCCTTCTTCTTGGAAATACCACAACCATTACAGGATTTTCAAAACATATCTGCGAGAATTTCATCATTTTGTATCAAACATCTTCAGATATATTTTACAAAACGTGTTCTTTTTTAATTTAACCATCCTGTATATGGTGAGCTATATAACCTGGTTGGCTTGAAGTCACTCGAAGTTTCCTGTATTCGTGAGAGGATCACTTAAGTGGGTGCACTTAACTTTCGGACCACCCTGTATATCCGAACTCTTCACTTCCCGTGGAGATTAGCGGCAATGATAAACGCGTCCCATATTCATAACGCACGACGCGACAGCCACCGGGACGCTTTGGTCCGCTGACGTCGGTCCTGTTTTAGCACAAGCTCGACGCCGACGGTGCGGACGCCTCCAGTTGTACGCGCTAACCAGTCTGTGCGGTGCAGGTGCGGATCTCATGGAAACCCATACCTCGGGAGCCTGTAGCATACGACAGCAGACGCAACATGAAATTCACTAAAGGTCAGTGTTAAGGATATATATCGCGGAATATATACCTTCCCCGCAGGGCGCCCGCCACTACGACGCTGGAGTTGTTCAATCGAGTTCCTAAAGGTCGAATTCGGGCACTTCGATGAGGTGCCAAATTAAATTGTTTTGCCCGGTGAACGACGCCGCATTTGTTGCGGTTTATTAACATCCAATTAAAAATTAGGAATTTTCTAGAGTGGTTGTGTGGGTGGGCCGTAAAGTTTATACGATGCTGTCGTTAATTTTACGGTGAAATATAAGCCTATTTGTATTTATTAAGCAATATGTATTTTAATACACTGATGATTCAAATCTATACCAACACCTACTGTTTTTGTTTTCGAACTGAAAAATATTCTTTTTGGATCCGGTTTTGCTGCGAGATTGCTGCCAAAACACTTTGACGACTGACGAATCTAATAAGATACTTATTTCTTATTTGTATGGATAGATGACTAATATTATACTCAGTTGTATAAATAAAAAAAATATTAAAATCTTTGTTTAAGTCTGCAACGATTAAAGAACACATATCCCAAATTTAAATATTTGATTATTATTTATTTTGTTTGTCATAACGAACCAACGTGGTAATAAATATTACGACAACATTTAGTACAGATTAATTTGAAAATATATACGTTATTCCCTGTTCCCAACAAAGTTAACTACTGAAATCTTAAATCAAATTATATTTTAAATATTGGCTTCAAATCCCTGGGATTTACGCCAAAATGCGAGGAAAAGTAAAACTTTTCTTGTAGAATCAAGGGTCAGTAGTTATATATAAAGAACTTGGACACATTTGACAAATATTTCTTGTCTATATTTTAACGTTAGAAAATTTTTCGCGTGGTTCAAAATAAATTGTTCTGCAGTAGGAAGTGTTGGCGTTAGACAGAAGAGTCAGTCACTGTAGAACATATAGAACTCGTCTCTATGCAAAATCATGTATTTATGATTTCAATGCTATGTATTCACAAATGTACTAACGTATCTATTGTTTTTTTAACACTTATAATAATATTTTATTGTTGACATGATTTTAAAACATATTTAGTAAATAGAAATCCAGTAGTGACAGTGACTCTAATTTTAGGTATAAAGTATTGAAAATAAAGTCAAATATAACTGGATAGTTTTATTGTAAGTACCTACTATTGAAATACAGAGAAATAGATCCATAACTTACATTTACAACAGACAGAAAAACACATTTTTTTATCCAGGTTCCACATGACTAGAGCTGTCACAAACGGTCCGCTAGCCATTGGCGCCGTCATTCAGCTACGCGAGCTGCCTAGCTGTCGGTTTAATAGCCGATTTCCCTGTCGAATGATTTCTTTTACGATTTTAGTTGTCTTTTGATGCATAATTGTGTGTAATAGCGTAGTTAGTGCTAAAAAACAGCAAACAATTCATACTATACTGACTAAAAAAAAAGAAAAAATAAATTTACCGGTTAGTAGCTATAAAATTATTGACATATAAAAACTATACAGGTGGAAAACAAAACAGAGATATATTTTTAGCTGCTCCCTTCGCTTAAATGTTTGATTTTTTACTTTTTTTTTATAAAATTAATAAAAAAGCACAAGGAGTAATAAATTATGTACTCAAGTCAGCGCACAGCTTTATCAGTAGTAAATTTGTTCAACAAAGCGGCAGTCAACACGATTTATTTCAAGTACATGTGGTCATAGGGAAAGTTAAATATCGGACAATACTTTCTTTTACTAAAAGAATATAAACAATAATGTAATTCAGTATAATATAAAAACTTGTTTATGTATAAAAACATTCAAAATAAATATTAATAAACATAAAGTATGTACTAAGTATTAAACAGTGCACAACACACGTATAAAAAAACTGGTGAAATCCGGAAGACTATAGGTCTGTTCCAACATGAGTCAGGAATTGGTTCCGAACCGTTCGAAATGTGCATTCAACTAATTCTTGCGATATATTCACTGAAGACACATTTAGAACAAACACTTCGAACGGTTAGGAACCAATCCCTGACTCTTGTTGGAACATACCTTAATCTTCATGCTGATTGCATGTAACCTATCATTTGATATGGTAAATAATAAAACATTTCATTCCTTCTGGAATAAAGTGGACATTATCATGTCGGACCACCTTGGAAGTAGATTATTTAATTATGCAAATATTACATCGTAGTTGTCGAACGGTCGTTCTCTTCAGATTAAGATGTTTTATCACCGCCGTGAATAAATTTCGCTGAAACAAGGGTATAAACATACCTGATGATGCGATCTATAACAGATCCCATCCAGATTGTGGAACCGATAGCAACGATGCGTAAAACAATTTACGCGTTTTTTTACGCAATGATACAATGACATAAATCTTATAATCATTGTTTACTTTATTTTATGTTAATGATCCACACACCTTTGTTGCGCGGTCAATTATGACAGCTCTACACATAACTTACTAAATAATTTTTTGTAGCCATGTAAAAATATGAGTTACCGGTAGCCAAATATAGCGCTAATACTTACTACTTACTACTTACTATAAGATATTAAAAAAACAATGGAAATGGAATTAATTTCTAGATAATTTTAAATCATTTGATTAATTTTGATGAAGGAATGCTTTGTAAAAGTTTGGCAGAGAAATTATAGGACGCTTTGTATAAGTACTTCCTGTCACTGTTTTTCAAACTCAGGATATTGTCAATTATTGCATCAGACGATTGTCAATTATTTTTAAATGAAATTATTTCTAACATTGACCCAAACAATTATTTTTTTATTTATGTAATATTAAATTCAACGTAGAAATTTAAGGACAAAAACAGACGTATGCACAAACAATAAGTAACGGTAAAAATGTCAGTCATTCGAGTTAAGTACGCCAATGGTATAAATTTAGTATTTCTTGCGCTACATTGTTTTTTAGCGATTTGTTATCACTTTCGTAAAAATAAAGCACAATTGTAAAAAACAGAAATGAATGCTATACACACACAATGAAAGTAAAATTAGTGGATTCCAAATTATTTTCCAGTATTATTTGAATGCGAGGATCGACGTGACAGGAGGAAGTATGTTTTAGAGTTAGTAAAAAAATTTCAAGAGACAGGAAACGTAGCCATTAAAAACGAGAAATTGAAAAACCTATAGTTAATGAAGCTAGTGAAGTTGCAGTTTTGGGACAAGTTCATATTGATCCTACATTAGTACGAGGCAGCTGGCATCTGTGTCTGAGATCAATCGAACTAGCATACAAACCATTTTGAAGAATAAATTCCATCCATACAAAATACATTTAGTCCAGAAACTTCTTGAGGACGATTATGACCGCCGTTTGCAATTTGGCGAAATAATAAGTGAGCGAGCAGGGAACGACCCACAGTTCCTTTTTAACATCTGTTTTTCTGATGAATGCAGTTTTTTCTTGAACGGGACGGTAAATCGTCACAATTGCCGCCAACTCAAGAGTTTTTCACGAGGTGTATACACAGCAACCGGAAAAATTAAATGTATGGGCTGGAATTTTCGGTGACTGGCTGGTGGGTCCTTTTTTTCTACCTGGTATTTGACTGGCCAAATGTATTTGCAATTACTGGAAGACGCTATTGACCCTGCCTTGACTGATATTATTGAAAATGTTCCAGAGTATAATAAAAATCATTTGATTGTTCAACAGCACGGTGCTCCTCCGCATTATGCGTTGTCAGTCAGTGTTTGGACCAACGTTTTCTACGGAATTGGATTGGGAGATGAAGCAGCATTGAGTAGCCTTCACGATCACCGGATTTATCGCCCCGTGATTTCTTTTTGTTAGGATACCTAAAAAGTAAAATCTATAAAACACAGCCAGCGTCGCTGGATGATTTGCGTCAAAGAATCGTCGACGAATGCCGTCGAATCACTCCGGAATTGCTTCGGAATGTGCGCGAACGTTTCGAACAAAATCTTTATTCTTGTATGGAAGCGGGCGGTCATCAGTTTGAACATTTAATCAACTAAGTAGTAAGTAAGCAACTAAATATAATTTAAATTTTAAAATGTAAATTTTTTTCAAAATATTGGGCGGAATTATAAAATTTAAAGTCTGTTGTAAAGAGAATTGTAAAAGCTTTCAAAAGAAATATTACTCAACCCCCAATGCCATTTAAATATTTTGGGGTGATGCTTACCTTTGCTTGGGGGTGAAAGTGGCGAAGTCAAAACTACCAGCAAAGAATGTCCCCCTTTAATCTAAAATCGACGGGTCTGAGCGTTTTTCTACAATCTTGACGCAGTTCCTGAAAATGACTCTGTTTCGTTTTCATTTGGCCACCCTGTATAATTGTATTCTGTGAACCATTTTTTAACAGAAGTAGGTTAAAAGTATTTAAAAATTGTCAATTGACAACAAAAATGTTAGTATAAATACTCGTTTGTAGTCATTAATTTTTTGTTTCGGATTAAGAATGGTGCTTTATTTTTTTGTTTATATATTCTTGATTGTCGTTACATTGTTAGTTCTTGTACGTTTTATTTACAAGTTTATCTCATAAATATATAAACGATAACGTGATATCAAAAATTTCTCCAAATAAAATTGATTTATGGATGTAGTTTTGTAAATTTACCATCTGAAGCCCTTGTTTATGTATTATACATAAGCAAGACTATAACAGATAACTTAATAAAATGGCGAATGCGCTGGTGCCTTAAAGTATTACAAATATAAGAGAATAAATAATATAAATCTGGTTTAGGTACGATAAGAATTCAAATTTATTTCAATTAAATAAAAAAGCGAAATTACATTTCATAGCTTTCAGAAAGGAGGAGGGTCAATAAGACCGGTCTTCGGCATTATCAGAAATTGATCCTAAACATACGGAATATCTTTTTGAACCTAAAGCAACAATATTACATCGATTCTAGGCAAAACGGATTAAACCTCTTCACTCAAAACGCTCAAAAACTGTTAATAACGTAATAAAACCATTTATGTTACAT